TTTTGCACATGGAAATCCAGTTGTCCCAGCACCATTTGTTAAAGATACTATTCTTTGCTCATTGAATTATTTTGGCACCCTTGTCAAAAATCAGTTAACCATAGTGTGAAGGATTTTTTCCTGGACTATCAGTTTTTGCATATGTACTCATAAGAGGCTGGTCTGTAGTTTTCTTAGGTTGTTTGTCTGGGTTTGGTATCAGGGTAATACTGTCCTCACAGAATGAGTTGTTACCTTAGACCTACTTGTATCCTATTAAATTTTAATGTGAGTTACTTAAAGACAGCATATAATTAGGTTTTTATAATCCAAACTGATAATATGTCTAATTGGTGTGATGAGGCCATTTATGTTTAATGCAACTATTGAAATGTTTGACTTTAGATCTACCATTATGTCGTTTTCTGTTTGTTCCCTGTTTTCCATTGCTGTTTCTTCTTTCCTTTTTTCCTTCCCTCCTATCTCTCCTTCTCCCTACACACACCCCACACAGTGGTTGTTCTACGGGTTCTAATACACATACTTTTTGTTCTTTTTTTTTTTTTTTGGAGATGGAGTTTCACTCTTGTTGCCCAGGTTGGAGTGCAACCGCACAATCTCGGCTCACTGCAACGTCCGCCTCCCGATTTCAAGCGATTCTCCTGCCTCAGCCTCCCGAGTAGCTGGGATTACAGGTGTGCACCACCACACCTGGCTAATTTTGTATTTTGAATAGAGACAGGGTTTTGTCACGTTGGTCAGGCTGGTCTCGAACTCCTGACTTCAGGTGATCCACCTGCCTTGGCCTCCCGAAGTGCTGGGATTACAGGTGTGAGCCACCCTGCCCAGCCAAATACACATACTTTTACAGTCAATTTAGAATTAATGTTTTACCATTTCAAGTGGCATGTAGAAACCTTACTACCATCTAGGTCCCTCCACCCTTCTCCCGTCATGTTTTAGTTGTCTTACATCTATATACACTGAAGCCTCCAGACAGTGTCGTGACTTTTAATTCAGCCATCACATAACTCTTAAAGAAGTGAAGAATAGTTTCATATTTATGTGGATTTTTGCCATTTATGATGTTCTTCTTGCATTCCCAAAGTTTTGAATTTCTCCCAGTATCATTTCTCTTCTGTCTGAGGAACTTGGTTTAACATTTTTTTAAAGCAGATTCTTTGGTTATGAATTTCCTCAGCTTGCCTTCATTTGAGAATGTCTTTATTTTACTTCATTCTTTATTCCAGTAAAGTAGTATTTTTACTGGATATAGAATTCTTGGGTGACAATTTTCAAAACTAAAAATATTCCACTTCTTTCTGGCCTCTATTGTTTCTGGTGAAGATCTGTAGTCTTTCAAAGAATTGTTCACCTGTATGAAATGTATCATTTTTCTCTGGCTGATCTTATTTTTCTTGGTCTTTAGTTTTCAGAAGCTTCTTTATTATGTGTCTAAGCTTGGACTTTTGTTGTTAATTTATCCAGTTGTGTGGTTCACTGGGCTTCTTGGTTTGTAAGTTTGTATCTTTTTCCAAACTGTCATCAAATTTACGGGCTCCATCCTTTGTCATTTCCATTCTGTTTAGGAATATTCACCAATACTTTCTGAAGGCTGGTTATAAATAGCTGCTGTAAAGTCTGCTTCTGATCATTCCAATAGTTGAATCCTCTCAGGATGGGCATGTATTGATTGTCTTCTTCTCTCCCATGTTGAGATTTTCCGGGTTTTCATGCTCTGGGTTATTTTGGGTTATATCCTGGATATTTTTAATATTGAGACTCTGGACCTTGTTTAAATCCTAAGCAGAATGTTGACTGTTTAAAGTGTTTGCACTACTAGTCATATTAGTCCTGTGTCTACACCGGTCAGTCTGGGACCTGCGATGCGCATCTAGGGTCAGCCCTGTGCGCAGCCTGCCAGCAAGCTGATGAGTTCACATATCACTTTACTGGATCGCTCACTTCATCTCTCCCTTCTCTGTACTCTCCCTGAAACACAACAGCTCCCTGCGACATCCCTTCCAAGACCTCCAGCCAGAAATCTGGGGCTCTTTCCCTACCCTTCTGCATACTCCCTGAAACTGCTCCAGGGCCCAGCGCAGGCGGACAGAAAGGAGCTGCAGAAGGCGGTTGCCCCATGCTCTTCGGGCCATGGCTCCTCTAGTCAGAGGGTAGCATTACCTTCTCAGGTTTCAGGTGCTTACCCAGCTCACACTACCGTCACTGTGCCACCACTGCCACCTCCATGTTACTGTCCAGGAGCTGGGGTAGAGAAGAAAGGAAAAATTGGAGGGATTCCCCCAACTTGCTGACCTCAAGGGGCTTCACATCCCACTCCTCTGATTCTTCCTGGAGCTCTTTCTGTTGGTGCACTTCAGGTTTCAAGCCGCCTGTGTGTCCAGGCTAGGCAATACTGGTTACCTCACCACTTATCTCTGGAATTTTGGTCTCCTTTTCTCATCTGCCTACTACTCCCTCAGAGCTCCTCCTGCATCTGTCCAGGATTGGTGGCTGTCAGTGGGAGAGACATGGGAAGATGCTCCCTCCACCTTCCTGGGACCACCTTGTTGACTCAGCAGCCTTCCTCACCGCCCGCCATGCCACGCCTTCCTGGATGGAGGCCCCGAGGGCAGCTTTTGGTTTTCCTACCCCTGTACCCCTCCAAGAAAGCTCTGGCACACTGCAGAGGCCAGCAACTACTTGTCGAATGAATCAAAGGAGCGTCAAGCCAGGGCCAAGGGTCAGAAGCAGGGGCTTGCTTCCCCGGAGCCCAGCTCTTCTCTGAGCTCCCCTTTCCTTTTTGACACCTCCTGCTTGGTTGGCAGTGAGGTCTCCCAGGTCTGGGGGATCCTTGCCACTGCTTCTGCACCCAGTCCTGGCTAAGCGGCCTTGTTCTTATCAAAGCTGTCAGGATCTGCAGAGTGCTCAGCTTCTACTCCCGCTCCTACACAGCTGCAAGTGGCTTGAAAATATGTGACCATGCTTCAGCGTCTCCAGTGATTCCCACTGTGTTGGGACACAAAGCCCACCTCTCTGTCATGTGCCCCTGATGATCGCTGCCCCAGCTTGTTTGCTTTCTGTAGGGCTTGGGTCTTTGCCAACCCCTCTACCTGGATTGCTCTCCCTGTAAGACTCATCATAGCTGAGGCCTTTGCACTCTGCTCTTTCCACTCACATGTCACCTCAGGGGTGTCCGTGGCCTCTCCTTTCCCATCTCTCCTAGTACATTATGGTCTTTTCTTCCTAGCGTCTGGTGGTATCTATGGTAGGCATGTTTAGCTGCTGGTACGATCCCTCCTCCACTGAAATATGGGCTTCATGTCTGGCCCCTGTGGGACTGCCAGAGCCTGGTCCTCAGCCATGTTTAGTTGGGCTAGTGAGTCGACTCTTCTGGTCAAAGGGACAAAAGAAGATGAGGAGATGTGGCTTCAGTCAGGACCAGTGTGGAACAGTGAGACCTGTGCATGGCACTGCTAGGAGGGATGGGTTCTACCTGCCAGCCTTGGGGCTCCTGGCAGCCGACAGGACTCTGCCCACTGGGACTTGGGTGCCAACCTTTGGGTACAGAGCCTTAGCTTCACAGGCCCCAAGCCAGGAGCCCCTCCTCAGGTAGGCCAGCAGGGATGGATGAAGGCCTGTCGAGGGTTTTTTGCACACTCAGATCCAAGTCTCAGAGTGGTGGTCCCTCTGCTGGCCTCCCACCCATACTCTCCTGTTATCAGAAGTGTGGCAGGTGACAGTGTGGTCACTGGGGTGGGAGGATGTGGGAGGCCCTGGATGGGGCCCATGCCCAAGGGTCCAGCCAAGGCCCCTTCATTAGGGCCCCAACTGTGACTTTATTACTCATAGTCTCTTCCCTGCCCTGGTGGCCCTCATCCCCCAAACAGAAACCTGAATGCAGAAGTCTTGAGGTCTGGACTCAAATCCATGCCACTCTTCAGTACATGCTGTAAGGTTCCTAAGCTGAGCATTTACCTAACAATCAGACTTTGACAGTCCTCAGTCCTACCCCCCAAACCCCCTTTGGATTTCTTTTTCAAGGTGGTTTTTCATTAGGAGGGTGGCGTGCTTGGGTGAGGGGGCAGATAGGGTGGGAGCATGCGGCAGGTATGGATGAGACCTTGACAAAGGGACCCCAGACGAAAGACAGGGACCGTTTCTCCCTTTGTCCTGGAAACCCAGCTCAGCCCCAGCCCTTGCCCATGCTGCTGTTGCTGCCTGGTACCTTCCCGAGAGGGCTTGAACTCTCTCCGGCTGTGGGTTCCTAAGCTGAGCATTTACCTAACAATCAAGACTTCTGACAGTCCTCAGTCCTACCCCCAAACCCCCTTGGATTTCTTTTTCAAGGTAGTTTCAGCTAGGAGGGTGAGCGTGGCTTGGGTGAGGGCAGATAGGGTGGGAGCATGCGGCAGGTATGGATGAGACCTTGACAAAGGGACCCCAGACAAAAGACAGGGACCGTTTCTCCCTTTGTCCTGGAAACCCAGCTCAGCCCCAGCCCTTGCCCATGCTGCTGTTGCTGCCTGGTACCTTCCACAAGGCCAGACTCCTCTCCGCAAAGCTGTGGCCTACACCAGCTCCTCTGACTCTCCTTCTCTGCCTGCTGAGGGCCCCCTCCCAGCCTGGCTGTCAATCACAGGAGAAAGGGGTTGGGATTTTGTTTGTCCCTCTCCCTGAGCAGAGAATGGCTGATGTGGCCACCGAGCCTTGACCTGGAGAGCCCCTCTGTCCCTGCTGCCCCCGTCTCCCCTAGCCCAGACTTCTGCCCTTCACGCCCATCCCTGACCAGCAGCCCCACTCAGCCTGGGCTCTGGGTGCCAGCTGGTTATGGACATGCCACCTCAGCCCAGGCCAGGAGCTGGTGGATGCGTAGGGCTATTTTAAGCACAGCTTCTTGGCCTGCTCCCCTGGCCCCCAGCCCCCAGCAGCTCAGCTACTGGTCACCTGCCACCGCCTGGAATGCTGATTGGCAGTTGGCTGGAGTGGGGGCTGGGAAGACACTGTTATAAAGCTGGGAGTGTAGGGAAGCAGCCGTCCCCATCCAGAGTCCTCTGTGGTCCCTGCTGCCACCATGGCCACCCACCGCCTTGTGATGGTCCGGCACGGCGAGAGCACATGGAACCAGGAGAACCGTTTCTGTGGCTGGTTCGATGCAGAGCTGAGTGAAAAGGGGGCCGAGGAGGCCAGGCGGGGAGCCAAGGCCATCAAGGACGCCAAGATGGAGTTTGACATCTGCTATACGTCGGTGCTGAAGCGGGCCATCCGCACCCTCTGGGCCATCCTGGATGGCACGGACCAGATGTGGCTGCCTGTGGTGCGCACTTGGCGCCTCAACGAGCGGCATTACGGGGGCCTCACAGGCCTCAACAAGGCGGAAACGGCCGCCAAGCACGGGGAGGAGCAGGTGAAGATCTGGAGGCGCTCCTTTGACATCCCGCCGCCCCCCATGAACGAGAAGCACCCCTACTACAACTCCATTAGCAAGGTGGGCTGCCTCCACTGGGAAGGCCTCTGGGAAGCTGCGGGATGGGTAGTTGGGTGGGGGCCCACTAGCTTGGGAGGGAAAGCAGCGTGCCTGTGTCCCCCAGGAGCGTCGGTACGCAGGCCTGAAGCCCGGGGAACTGCCCACCTGCGAGAGCCTCAAGGACACCATTGCCCGGGCCCTGCCCTTCTGGAACGAGGAGATTGTTCCCCAGATCAAGGCTGGCAAGCGAGTGCTCATTGCAGCTCACGGGAACAGCCTGCGGGGCATTGTCAAGCACCTGGAAGGTGAGACCGCCCTCAGAAGCCTGGGCAGGGTGGGTGGGCAGCAGCCCCAGCTGGCTTCTCATCTCAGCAAAGCCTCTAGCCCATGGACCAGGCCGCTTTCTAGGCGTGGGGCTCCCCATTGTTCACTGAAAAAGGAGGGCTGAGCAGCCACTTTTTAGTTTTGTGAAACTTCCCTCATTTCTGTGTAACCAGGACATACTCCACAGGGGCTGACCGCACTTGAAGCTCGCTGTGTCCCGAGGCGGGGCAGGCTCCAAAGGGGCATCTGCCCAGGGACACCCAGCTAGGAAACGGAGGGGCTGGGCTTAGAGCATCTAGCTCCAAATCCCGGCTTACCGGGGGCCCTGGACAAACCACCTCCATCTCTGGGCCTCTCCCTTTTCCGGGGTGGTGGGGAGCTCCCAGGGCTCCCCCGGTACTGACTGCCTCTTGATGTGTAGGCTTGGACCCCTCGCAGGACCCTCCCCCATCAGGTCCTCAGATTCCCTGCATGAGCTCCACCACCTATCTCCCTCTGGAGCCCCTCTCTGGGCAAAGGAAAGACCAATCAAAAGAGGGGTGCAAGACTATGGAGTGGCCGGACCCCGGGCTTGTAGCGGGACTCCCACTGAAGAGCAAGGGCTGACAAACGGGCCCGGGATACATGGGTGCAGTGAGACCTCGCCCAGAGTGACTGGAACCTCCACTCCGCCTCCCACCTTAGTATTCTGACACCAGGGCAGTCTAAATTAGCATCTGAATGACCTTAAAGCTTGTAGAGTCCTGGAAAGGCTAGAAGGGTGTGCCCCAAACCTTCTGCTCCTGGGGCCGATGGGCAGCTGGCCAGAGCACCCAGACCGGCAGGCCCCAGAGACCCAGCCCGCCCCAAGCCTGCCAACTCCAAACACGGATACCTGGCACCCGGGCCAGGCAAAGGGAAGGACCACCTGCCTCCTCTCCCTTCTGGAGGCTTCATGCCAGCCCCATGACCCTCCCACAGCCTGGTTTGGGGAAAGGGGATGCACTTTTGGTGGTGAATATGAGGGGATTTCAGTGGGAGTCCCTGAATCCCCAGGGAACATTCTCTTAAACCTTTCTGCACGGAGCGGGGGGTGGAGTGGCGTGAATATCAAAGGTCGAGCTGCTATTCCCAGCTCGGGGGCTGCAGGAGGCAGGCAGGGTCAGGTTTCGACCAGGCTTGGCCTCCCTGTCCCTCCTCCAGCTCCATTCCGCACTTGCTCCTGTTCAGGATGTCTAGAATTTAGAGCACTTTGCAAACCAAAGGGCGCCGGACACGGTGGCTCACTCCTGTAATCCCAGCACCTTGGGAGGCTGAGGCAGGTGGATCACCTGAGGTCAGGAGTTTGAAACCAGCCTGACCAACATGGTGAAACCTGTCTCTACTAAAAATACAAAATTAGCCCTGTGTGGTGGCGCTCACCTGTAATCCCAGCTACTTGGGAGGCTGAAGCAGGAGAATTGCTTCAATCCAGGAGGTGGAGGTTGCAGTGAGCCGAGATCGCGCCATTGTGCTCCAGCCTGGGCAAAAGGAGCAAAACTCCATCTCAAAAAGAAAGAAAGAAACCAAAGGGCTAGTGTCCTTCCTGACCCTCAACTTCAGTCTGGCTGGAGTCACACTGGGCTGAGGGGACTATGGACAGCACCATCACAGGTCACAGCCACTTGGGTGGGGCTGAAGTCCCCATTTGTTTCACCACTGGGCTATTTCTGTAGGCTGCTTGGTCTAACTCAGTTACGCCTTGACCTTCGGCAACATTTCTGTGGCCTCGCTCTCAGGGCTGGAAAGGTTGGTGCCAGGGGAACTGGCTCTGTGGCCCATAAAGGTCATATAGTGTCTGCTGTGTGAATAGGCTGGGGACAGAAGGGCTAAGGACACCTATTCCTTCCGGCACAGGGATGTCGGACCAGGCAATCATGGAGCTGAACCTGCCCACGGGGATCCCCATTGTGTATGAGCTGAACAAGGAGCTGAAGCCCACCAAGCCTATGCAGTTCCTGGGTGATGAGGAAACGGTGCGGAAGGCCATGGAGGCTGTGGCAGCCCAGGGCAAGGCCAAGTGAGGGGTTGGGCTTGGGCAATAAAGGCACCTCCTCCCACAGCCTGGACTCCAGCGCAGCCGGGCATGCCAGGCTCACCCCACCATCAGCTATGGGGACTCCAGAACCAGGGGTGCAGCCATCCACCTTCCCCCACTCCATGCCTGTGTCACCAGGGGCAGGAGCCTAGTACCCACCCCTAGTCATCAAGACACTGAGCCAGGGCTGCAACCACTCCATGTCCAGTCAGGACAAGCCTGTGGTGACCCTGAAGCTTCAGAGCCACTTAGTAACCATGCTCTAGAATTGGCATGCTTGGGGCCAATTGGAAGAGGCCAAGTGACCCAGCTCTCCCCATGGGGAGCAAGGACCACAGCCAGGACATGGCTTCCCAGACAGCTTCCTACAGAGGGCAGGTGGTCCTCTGCTGTCCTTGCAACCCCCAGGTGGCACTTTGAGCCCTGACTCTTGGGTGGGGACAGGTAAGCCCAGAGGGGGTCTCAAAGCTGGCAACAGCCCAAACTTAGGTCTTCCATGGGAGTGGAGGGGAAGTTCCCTCTTCATGGGAGAGGCACCAGAAAGCCCTGGCAAAAAGGGGAGAGGCCTGAGCACAGAAAAGCTGGGAGCAGGGTTGGATTCCATGCAGCCTTCACCCCAGGCACCAGCAGGTGACGCCTCGAGTCACGCATGTCCGCCTAGCAGCTCTGGGGCACAGGAGGGACCTAATTCCCTGGATGCTCGGTGGGCGCCAGATACCTCACGTCACACAGTAGGCCATCCCATGTAGGCAGAGGCTCCCTGAAGCTGGGAGCAGGGCAGCCCTTGGCCTCTCCCAGAGGAACTGGAACATAGGAAGGCTCCAACTTCAGTCCCATCTTAACATTTAGCCTCTTCCTGGTGGCTGATCATCATCAGCCGCAGTCTCAGGGTGAGGGTGCTCACACCAGACACACAGCAGAGGCAGACACCGGGCAGGCGGCAGAGTGCTATTCCCACATGGGAGCATTCAGGCTATAGCAGGGCAGGTCAGAGCTGCGAGCCTGTGTAGACCAAACTGGGAATTCGTGGTCCAAAAGCATATTTGTTCTTCAGGGACATGGATGAGCTGGGACAGAAAATAGGGGAAGACAACAGGCCAAGGCCACTCTGTGTTAAGTTTCCTGAAGTCAGAATCAGTTGAGGCACACACTGGGGCCGGCAGGCATTGAGTGAGCCGTGTGGAGGAACATGTTGTGTCTGCTGTTTTCGAATACCCAGGGTGGAAGCTTGACCATCCGCATCCCCACTTCCCATAGCCCAGGCAGAGGGACAGAGAAATGGAGTGGGGAGCACAGAGCAGGCTCCGACAAGACAACTTCCCTGCTGCCAAACCACCATGATCCACTCTGACTTTGGTCACAAAATCCGCTAAAAACAATTCTCTACGTTCACTGTTCCCAAGGGTCATTCTAAACAGTGGTGGCCACCACCCCTTAGAAGCAAGAGAAAAAGAAAAAAGGCAAATAAATGCAGAAGGCAGCCGGAGCCTCCCAGATGCCCCTGCTCAGGACCCTTCCCCACAGCTTGGCAGTGGCCACTCAGGGCTTGGCCACAGGCAGGGCTTGGCTCAGTATCCTGTCAAGGGCAAGAGCCAAGCTGTGTGGGAGGGTCAGGGGGATGCAGGAAGGATGTTTGGGAATCACCAGGCCATTGCTGCATTTGGGGTGACAGGCTGAGTCTGCCAAGTCAGAGGGAGCCCTAAGGCCTCATCCTCACTGGGGGTCCCATTCCTGGAAGAGTGCCGAATGTTCAACTCCCAGGCCTCCTCTTCCAGCAAGAAGAAAGTCATGTCTGAGCAGGGAAGGGCAAGATGTGCCCTCAGCCTCACTCAATGAGCTCCACGTAGTTGGCAGGGAACATGCCAAAATGGCCATCCGGCCCATAGCCACGCCACCAGCCTTCGTCGATCACCTCGATGCCTGTGATGAGGTTCTCGGGGTCAAAGGAGATCTCTGTGTCGTCGGCTGCAAAGAGGATGAGCCCAGATGTATATCAGGGGCTCCCTCCCACATCCCACCTGCTCAGGCAGCACACGGCAGCCCCACCCTGCTGCAGTACAGCTCGCTGTGGCTCTGGTTCCTCCTCAGAAATATCCCTGCCACGCTGCTAAGCCTTGGCCAACACTGCACCCTGTCCCAATGCTGCTCTGGTGACCACAGCCTCAGGGCACACCCTCCTACAGAGCATTCCCAAAAAAGTCTAGTGTAGACACCAGTCTGCTCCATGGGGAGCCTCCACTCCATTCTCCAAGGGACGCCTGGGGAACCAGCATCCAGGCTTGGCCCACCTCCCTGCTCAGACCCCATGTTTTGTGACAAGGATGGCAACTGGGATTCTACACCAGCGGCCAGCAAATAGCTACGAGGAACACATGGGGAGGCCTGCGCTGTGCAGGACACTCCAGTGCCACAGTCGCCCCCACTCCAGAGGTGCTCCTACCCCTAAACGCACCACCCACCCTCCTGTCTTCTCTTCCTGACACCCCATAGTGCCATCTTCCCATAAAACCCCAGACCCTCTTGTCTCCTAACCTCAGGACCCTGTGGTCCGTGCCAGCCAGGCCAGGGCACCTTACCTGCCTGGTAGTCGTACAGGGCACGGGCACAGAGCCCTTGCCCACTGAGCCCCTGGCCCTGAATGTGGTGGTCAGCGTGCTCAGAGCCGGCACCTTGCTGCTGCACCTGCCCAGGGATGACAAAGGTGTTACCCCAGACTCAGCCCTTACACCCAGTCGCTGCTCTGCACCACATGGCCCGGGTCAAGCTGGGAGTACACAGAGGGAAAGCAGTCTACAGGCTCGGGGGCTGCTGCTGTCCCCGTCCTACCAGAGCACAGAAGCCATAGGACAGTGCGCAAATCCCTCAGCCATGGGCTGCAAGGTCCCCTTCCCACCCAGCACCTCGTATAGAGTGGTGCTTGCCCTGACAATTTATAGCACAGGGCTGCTCCAAAAATGCATGTGCTTTAAAACCTGTTGCATGCCCCCAGAAAACTTGGCCCGTGATAAGTGTTTCTGAGTATGCAGCCCCTTCCTGGCCCCAGCCCCACTGTAGGAACCCACCAGTGGGGGCTCCTCGTAGAAGGCCTCCTGCTCCGGGGGTCCCTCATACACAGCCTCCTCTTCTGCCTGCAGCAGACATGGAGGAGTCCTGGGCGCCGGCTCCTCACCAGGAAGATCTGCACCAGGGAACACAACGGGTTCTTATTCCCACACATCCCCCTTCTCCACTGCTGTCCCCCAGGGTCCCCATGGGATGACAAGCGCCTTGCCTGTCCTAGGCCTTGAGACAGTGGCAGCTGGCTCTCTGCCAAAGTGGGTCTCTGGTTGGGTGAGCTGCTTCTGTAGGAAGGGGCTCCTCAGCTTGCCTGCAAATCCGGGTAAATAAATACAACATCACTTCAGAAACACCACCTGTTGCACACACACATGCGCACGCACATACACACACACACCCCGCCCCGCCACAGCACCCTCCACCCTGGTGTGCTCGAGGCAGTCTCATGGGGCTTGCCCTGGCTAGTGCAGGAACAGAGACCCCAGGGCCATGTGCTATGTGGTGACCTGGTAGACAGCGCAGCCCAATATCTTTTGGAGGCCAAACTGGTGACCAATGTGGTCACTGATGAGGTCAAGGGCCCCAGGTGTCCCTTCTCACTCACTCATCCCTGTCACCGATACATGTCACTAGCCTCAGAGAGTCCACATAGGACCCCAGGATCCCCCTCACCCTGCTGCTGCCTCATGGCCAGGCCCAGAGGGAGGTCTCACCCGGCTGAGGACTGGAGACGGAGGTGGTGGACATGGCCCTCTCCTTCTGCTTGAAAATCTCCCTCGGGTGCATGGCAGACTCCTGGAGGGAAGCACATGTTGACCCCTGCAGTGGGCAAAACTTTCACCACCTCTCCCCAGATCACAGCCCCTCCAGCTGTCAGTCCGGTAGCCCCTCAAAGGTGAGTATGGGGCCAGGAGGCAAAACATGTTCTCAGGTGAGAAGTCATTTAAAAATAAAAAGTCCCTTTAAAAAGGGAAGTAAAACAGAAGCCAAGGGGCTCACAGGGCCTCCCCCAGGACCAGGTGTGGTCCAAGCCCAAAGCTTCGGCCTTTGACTTTCCTCTCTACTGTCAGCTCTTGAGGTGTCCAGGTTCCAACCTGCCCCAGCTGACTGCAGGGCAGCTTCTGCCCAGGTCTGGGCTGGGCCCTCAATCCATGATCAGGGACTTCTGTGTGTGGCCAGTACAGGTCCAAACAAGGAGAGCACCCTCATCTTACCTGCTCATCTCGGTTCCTTGAAACCACTTCTTGCTGCTGCTCCTCCCACGTCCTGCTGGGAAGGGCCGGGTGGGGTACAGCTGAGGCACAGCCACAGCTTCTCACGCTGCACCCCTCAGTCCTCCTTGCCTCCGTGGGATGGAGCGGGTGCCCAGCAATGCCCCAGGGTGGGTCCCCCAGGCCAGCCTCCACCTCTGGCTCACCTCTGGGGGCTGGCCTCGCCACGCTGCTCCTGATAACGCTGCTCCTGATAGCGCTGCTCCCGCCGCGCAGCCTCACGCAGCTCACGCTCCCGGCGCTCCTGCTCCAGCTGCCGCTGCGCCTCCTCAGCCCGCCGCTTTTCCTCCAGCCGACGGTTCTCCTCCTCCTTCTGCAGGGAGAGCCGCTGCCCACTCAGCCCTGTGCTGACACTTCAGCCTAATCCCCTGCCCAGGACTGGGTTTTAGGCATATGGCCAAAGACGGGCACCAGAGCCAGTCGCTCATTAGCCTTGTGGCTTAACCTACCCGAGCCTCAGTGTGACCATCTGTAATGGGCACCAAGGAGAGCGGATGCTGCACGAGCTCGCTGCGAAGAAAGCTGAGCCATAGCAAGCAGAACACTCCCATGTGCCCAGCACGCCCCGGGGCAGCACTCACCTCTGCTTTGGCCCAGAAGCTGTCTTTACCAACCCTTTTAATCTCAGACACAGCATTGGTCTTCTGGTACACAGAGCCCTGTAGGGGACAGCACTCATTAGAGACCTGGACCCAGGTGGAAGGCCAGTCCCACAGGCACCAGAGGAGAGAATACACTAAACTTGTGACAGCACAGGTGAGTGCTGCTAGGACTGGAGCCAGCAGAGGCGGCAGAGCACTGCCCAGTGACCCTCAAGGAGACACATATCAAGATGACCTGAATGCAGCCCAGGACACTGCCCCAAGGGGGATGCTCAATCCCAGACAACACTAGAGGGGTCTCTGGTGGTCTTTGGCCCTCATAGATGGGGGCCAGGGCAAGAAAGCCCCCCATACTCCACCTGCAAACTCCTAGACATTGGGCAGTTCTGAAGCAGGCCTCTGGCCAGGGGCACTCAGACAGCTGACTAGCACAAGAGCGTCCAAGGAACCACCACTGAGCCCAACCGCACATCTGTGGACGCAGCTCCCAGCCATCAGCTCCACACAGCACTGGGGCCGCAGGCCCACAGGTATCTCCCGTGACTCCAAGGGGCCTGCTCTGGTTTCAGGCTCTGCCTTGATGTCCCCTTTAGTTCCTCCACAGCAGCTACCTCCAGGGGCAGCCCAGGATGTGCCAGTGCCATGACCTCGAGGGCAGCCAGACTATCATAGCCATGCATCCTGCAGAGCCTCCACTCTGATCACACAGGCTGGGCTCCAGATGAACACTAAAGAACAGCTAGTCCAAGCCCTAGGCAAAGTCAGAGGGCTACTCCTGCTCATCTGGTCAGTGGGCACTCCCCACAGCTCAGGGGTTACCACCTGCAGAAATTAGGCAGGCATGGGCCCAGCCAGCCTGGGTGCTGGGAAGTGCACATTCCTGGCCCCCCACCCTCAGGCCCTGAGCAACAAAAGGACTGGCGATGGGCAGGCAGCACTCACCACTGGGGCCTGGGGCCCCGCATCCTGGAAGCGGCCACTCTCCTTGTGAAAGCTGTAGTTGGCACCTGAAGCCTTGGCCACCTTCTCCATGATGCACTCAGGCTCCACATCCTCCTCGGCCCGTGCGTTGATGGTCACGTGGGCCCCCTGCAGCAGGAGTAGCACTTGAAAGAAAGGCTTTGCAAGCCCAGGTTATGGGCCAAACTCCTGTCAGTCCACACAGCACAGGCCACTACTACACCACACAAGACTGGAATCAGGAAACCAGAAGGCACCTGTCTCGCTGCTGAAAACTGAGGCATGAGTTCCCCTCAAGGGCTCAAACAAACCAACTTGGAGCAAACCCCTCATACTTGTCCCAGTTCATGTGAAACCCTTGCCCTCCACTGTGTTATCCAGTAGTTCCTTCTGTAGATGTTCCCTGCTGCATATCAGTAGACAGCCCAGGCATGATTTGCATCAAAGGCCTTCCCTCCAATCAATGAAAATTAATTTTAAATGCCATCTGGAAACCACAAAAGACCGTGAATAGCTAAAGCAATCCGAAGCAAAAAGAGCAAAGCTGGAGGCTTCATGCTACCTGATTTCAAATTAAACTACAAAGCTATAGTAATCAAAACAGCATGGTACTGGCATAAACACAGACATACAGAACAATGGAAACTAACAGAGCACCCCACACACTTACAGCCAACTCATTTTTAACAAAGGTGATAGGAACACACACTGTGGAAAGGGCGGTCTATTTAATAAACAGGGCAAGGAAAATTGGATATTTATATGCAGAAGAATGAAATCAAATCTTCATCTTTCACCATATAAAAAAATAAACTCAAAACGGATTAAAAAGACTTAAATGTAAGACCTGAAACTATGAAACTACTCAAAGAAAACATTAGAAAGACACCCCTGGACATTGGTCTGGGCAAAGATTTTTTTGGGTTAAGACCTCAAAAGCCCAGGCAACAAAAGCAAAAGTAATCGACTACATCAAGCTAAAAGGCTTCTGCACAGGATATGAAACAATCAACAAAGTAAACAGACAACCTACAGAATGGGAGAAAATATCTTCAAACTATCCATCTGACAAGGAATTAGCAACCAGAATATAAAAGGAACTCAAACAACTCAGTAGCAAAAAAATAATAATCTGATTTTAAAATGGGCAAAAGACCTTAACAGGTATTTCTCGAAAGATGATATACACATGGTTAACTACATATGAAAAAACGCTCAACATCACTAACCATCATCAGGGAAATGCAAACCAAAACCATAATGAGCTATCATCTCACCACAGTTAGAATGGCTATTATAAAAAACTCAAAAAATAAATGCTAGCAAGGATGTGGAGAAAGGGAAACTCTTACACACTGTTGGTAGGAATGTAAAGTAGTACAGCCATTATAAAAATAGTATGGTTTTTTGGTTTTCTTTTTTGAGACAGTCTTATTCTGTCGCCCAGGCTGGAGAGAAGCGGCACAATCTCGGCTCACTGCAACCTCTACCTCCCGGGTTCAAGAGATTCTCCTGCCTCAGCCTCCTGAGTAGCTGGGATTACAGGTGCCCACCACCACACCTGGCTATTTTAGTCCTACTAAAAACAGAACTACCTTATGATCTAGCAATCCCACTGCTGGGGATATATCCAACTCTGATGTTCAGCACTATTAACAACAGCCAAGACATGGAATCAACCAAGACATCCATCAATGGATGAAAGGGTAAAGAAAATGTAGTATATAAACACGAGGGAATATTATTCAGCCATAAAACAGAATAACATCCTGTCATTTGCAGCAACATGGATGGAACTGGAGGTCATAATGTCAAGGGAAATAAGCCAGGCACAGAAGACAAGTATTGCATGTTCTCACTCATATGTGGGAGCTAAAAAAGTGGGTATCATGGAAGGAGAAAGTAGAATGGTGGTTACCAGGGGCTGGGAAGGGCATGGGGGAGAGAAAATGAAGAGACGTTGCTTAACAGGTACAAAAATACAGTTAAATAGAAGGAATAAATTCTAATATTCAATAGTACAGAAGGGAAATTGTAGTTAACAATAATTTTGTATATTTCAAATTACCTAGAAGAGAAAAAGTACAATGTTCCCAAAACAAAGAAAAGATAAATGTTTGAGGTGATGGACATGCTAATTACACTGATTCATTGTATACACTGTGTACAGGTATCAAAATATGACATGTATGCAAAAAAATATGTGCAACTATTACATATAAATTTATAAAAACCCTGGGCCGGGTGCGGTGGCTCTCGCCTATAATCCCAGCACTTTGGGAAGCTGAGGAGGGCAGATCACTTGAGGTCAGGGATTCCAGACCAGCCTGGCCAACATGGGGAAACCTCATCTCTACTAAAAATCCAAAACTTAGCTGGGCATGGTGGCAGGCACCTGTAATATCAACTACTCAGGAGGCTGAGAAAGGAAAATCACTTGAACCTGGGAGGTAGAGGCTGCAGTGAGCCGAGATCATGCCACTGCATTCCAGTCTGGGTGACAGAATGAGTCTCGTCTCAAAACAAACAAACAAACAACTCTGATAAAAGAATGCCATACACGTTTTCTACAAAAAGTAAGCTACTGACATCTTCATGAGAAGCCAGACCCATGACCTCATTCACTGTTACTATCCAGGTTGAGCATCCCTAACCTAAAAGTCCGAAATCCGAACTACTCCAATCAACATTTCCTTTAAGAATTATGTCAGCACTCAAAAAATTTCAGATTCTAGGTTGGGCGCAGTGGCTCACACCTGTTATCCCAGCACTTTGGGAAGCCGAGGCGGGCAGATCACGAGGTCATGAGATTGACACCATCCTGACTAACACGGTGAAACCCCGTCTCTACTAAAAAAATACAAAAAATTAGCTGGGCGTGGTGGCAGGTGCCTGTAGCCCCAGCTAATGGGAGGCTGAGGCAGGAGGATGGTGTGAACCCGGGAGGCGGGGCTTGCAGTGAGGTGAGATCGCGCCACTGCACTCCAGCCTGGGTGACAGAGTGAGATTCTCTCAAAAAAAAAAAAAAAAAAAAAAAATTCAGATTCTGGAGAATTTTGGATTTTGGACGCTGAACTGGTAAGTATTTAATGCAAATATTCTCAAATCCGAAAAAATCCAAAACATTTCTGGTCCTAAGCATCTCAGATAAAGGATACTCAAACCTGTATACCTGATAAGCTGGGAATTCTCTTATCGGCTCCTAGATGGAAACTGAGGTATAGCTGAAGAAATGTTGGCAGAACCAGAAATCAAAATTCTGAGTCTCCTTTGCCAGAGAAATGCAACCAGCGAAATGCAAAAAGTTACCTGACAAGTGACCAACAAATGCTTTTGTTACAAATAGTTTTTAAAATTTAAAAAGGTTCTATTATAAGACTGACATAAATCCATGTAGAAATGGGGGCTGGAAAGGAATGCATCAAAAGGGCATGTGCGTGCTAAGATGGTGAGCACTCTCCCCTTCCTCCAAATCCTGATGGTATTACTAAGCTGTTTAGACGCATCATAAAACAAAACAGAACCAGGGCCCAGCCTTCTCACAGCACCAGTTCCAGCATGGTCCTTTATTCTGCCCCACTGAGGCCGGCCTGTAGGTGGCCCTGGCAACATCCTGACCTCCCATGCATTCGCTGATGGACAGTGAAGCAGCCTCTGGTCATGCCCTGAAGGGCAGGCAGAGAGCATTAGCCAAGAGCACACTCCCGAATCCAGTTCTGCTTCCCACTTGCTTGCACCCAGGAACCTGGGACACCTCAAGCCTGTGAGGCCTGTTCCCAGTGGAGCAGGCCTCGCCAGGCCTCACCTTCAGGAAGTTGGCCATGGTGCTGACGTGGCTGGCGCAGGCTCCCTTCCGCACATCGTTCACACCCTCGCCTGTCTGTAACACAAGTATGCCCAGAATGACCCAGGCCTCCCCCAAAGCCACTTCCCTCCCCTGGGGACCCAACATCTACCCTGTCTCCCAGAAAAGAGAAAACTGCAACCCCCAAAGCAGAACCAATTCTTCTGACTGCATCACACTGGTGAGGTAAGTTTCCATGCCTCCAAGGGGCTCATGGACGCTCCTTTGGCAGGATGGTTACCAGCTTTCCCTGTGGGGGCATTTCATGAGTTTTCTTTCTTTCCTTTTTTTTTTTTTTTTTTGGAGATGGAGTCTTGCTCAGTCGCCCAGGCTGGAGTACAGTGGCACAATCTCAGCTCACTGCAACCTCTGCCTCCCAGGATCAAGCAATTCTCCTGCCTCAGCCTTCCGAGTAGCTGGGACTACATATGCATGGTGCCACGCCCAGCTAATTTTTGTATTTTAGTAGAGACGGGGTTTCACCGTGTTGCCCAGGCTGGTCTCAAACTCCTGAGCTCAGGCAATCCAACCACCTCGGCCTCCCAAAGTTCTAGGATGACAGGCGTGAGCCACCGCACCCGGCCTTCAAGAGTTTTCTTGATCCCTACCAAGGGATCAAGGAGGCCCTGTCCCTGCACTGCCAGGCTCCTAAACACTCCCTCAGGCTCTCCATCAGAACAACCACCCTCAAGAGCACGGAGCAAGGACTCCCTGCAATTGCTTTTACTCCATTTTGCAGGAAGAACTCTAGGCTTGGAGGGTGAATTCTGCATAGCAAAGTCACAGTTATTCTTTGGGACACAATGAATCTGTCAACTAGTCTGCTCATTCACCAGCTCAGAGCTGTTCTATTGATCCACTAAGTCATGCCCGTAAAACACTCTGTTCCTGAAGTCAAGTCAAAACAGGAAAGAAGACAATGGGGTTTCCTGGGTCACACCTAGATGAAACGGGCTCCACATACCCAGTTGATGAGGACAAATTTGGGCAGTCCGGAGTTGGGGTCCTTCACTCTGCAGAAGGCATACATCACCTTCCCGCTGTTGAGCTCCTCCACCATCTCCTCCAGGCCACCCTCTGCAGCAGAGTCACAAGGAAGGTCAGGGGTGGCCCTGACATTCCCTGCTGGCCCTCGTCCCACCAGGAAGGGAAGCCAAGCTGCCTCTAAACCAGGGCTTCTCACATCTACCTGTATCAGAATCTTTCTAGGGGCATGTTTACAATCAGAGTCCTGGGCACCAGCCCCACTAAACTGACTGATGAGAGCTGGGTGGGACCTAGGAGTCTGTGATTCTGACAAGTACCTCAGGTAATTTCTTTTACCCACACTTGTTTAAAAACCACTTCTCTAAACCCAGAGGTAATTCTGGAAATAAAAACAGGGTCACTTCCATGGCAAACCAGCCACCAGACTTCCAAATGGAGGATGTCTACAACAAAATTTTATTGTTGCCTCAACCTTGCAAAGGGGCCCGGAATAGGAGGGCCTGTAGAGTCACCACTGCCTGCACCTGTGTCTGCTCAAGCTCCAGGGTCGCCCAGGGGGCCAGACCAGATTGAACGTCCTGCAGCAGCATAACTGGCTCAGCCCTCACAGACTCCAGAAGAGAGGGTGATGGGGGCAGGGGGAGCACAGGAGTGGGCAGCTCTGAACGATTCCCCCCTGACACGGAGGCTTAGCCCCCACAAGCTTTCCCAGCTTATAAGGAGGAAGAGCTGATCAGGTATTTCAGCTACAGGGCTCCATATAAGTGGAGGCAGTCATGAGTCCCCATTCTGGGGACAGCAACTTGTTGCGTTTGCGGCAGAGCCCGTCCCGTGCCACTGGGGATGATGACAGGAAACTCAAGTTGTTGATCCCTGCAACTCCCAGTCACCTGCCACACCACATGTCTACTGTTCAATGGTGATCCTTCTAGAACGGGGACACCTCCCAAAAAGGTTGTGAAAGGAAGGGGCTTTCTACCAACAACAGCCACCAAACCGTGGAGAACACACTCCGAGCGCTCACTGAACAATGAAGCCATGTCCGGCTCAGGACAGAGGGAGGGGTCAGGGAAGTTCTGAAGGAGGAGGAGTCAAGGGTGTCAGCTGGGGGGCCCACAGGTCACACTCTGACCCAGCCTACCCTGAAAATCTCTGCTCTGTGCTGGCCAAGAGCCTGTCCTTCCTGCAGAGACCCCCAGAGCCTCCCCCGTGACTATCTGCAGTGATACTGCCTCTCCCAGTGAGGATGGGGCCCCTGCAAGCACTCGGCACAAGACCAGGGCAGAACAAAGGGAGACTATGCCATGTCTGTGGACCTTCTCTCCACCAGCACCAGTTCTGGGACTGGTGAGCTTCCCACCACAGCTCCCTGGATGCAGGCTGCCCACAAGCTGGAGAGGCCTGTTTCCCTCTCAGCTCTCCCCAAGTAGACACAGAGAAAGCACTCCCCTGCACCCAGAGGGGAGGAGAGCCAAGAAGGAATGTTTTCACTTACACATATCTGAAACCAAAGGCCTGCCAGAAGTGGCCAGTGAGCACTGGAAGCCCCATGTGGCTCAGTGGACCAAGACGGCTGAGTGCGCTGACCTCCAGTCCTGCCTGTTGTTGGCTCATGTAATGATCAAGGGGCCAGGGAACCCCCAATGGAGTTAATGTGAGGTGGGTCTGCAGAAGGCAGGCTCCAGTCCACTTCCCACCCTCAGTGGAGGAAGGTGTTGAGCCACTGGCAGAGGCCACCTGTGTGATAGAGTCCCCTTCTTCCTGTGCAATAGCTGAAATGCCAGCTGAGATGGACTGCTAATGGTCACAATCCTCTCTCCTTTGCACACGTCACCCTCCTACCTCCTGGTGTCCCCGAGTCCATTTGGAGTCATACTTACCCCCTGTGCCAGCCACACGGATGTCGTTGCTGTTGCCTTCATAGGTAAAGAGAGCCCTGAAACGAAACACAAGTGAGCTCTGTAGCCAGTACCTTGGGTTCCATCTCTCCTCACCGCACCTACCATGACTTTCCGCTGCACCCCAAAGAACTTGGGCCGACGGTAACACTGTGAGTGGACATGGGCCCCTTCTCACTTTGCTCTAGCCTGCTAACCAGGTTCTCAGTAGGCAACTGTGCAGCCTTCTCAGCTCTGCAGCTGGGAGGACACTGCCCTGACTTACCATGGGGTGGGGGTTGTGAGGGACAAAGCCACGGAGATGGGAGCACACATCTACTATGAGGAAAACATGAGCTGTGGAGTTTCCAACGACTGCTATACATTCGTGTGTCAAATACTCACCTGGCCACACCAGGTATATGGATTTACCTGGTAAAACATTTTTGTCTCTTACCAGAGACAAAACATATCTACATATTCCTGAACCCAGAGCACTCAAAGGAGAAGCAAGTCAGAGAAATACACGCGCTGGGCCCCTTGGAAGGCTGCCCACCACTCCTGTGAAGGTCTGCCCTGGCTCCAGTGAAGCCTGGCAGGTAGGGCAGCAGGTCCTTCTAGGCTTGAGACTCTTTGGTAAACACAGACTACTACAGGTTGTGTTTATTAGAAACCACAAGGGAATGACACGACATGAAATCACACAGTTAAAACCATGAACCTGCCAAGCCCCTCACGGACAGGTACCCATGAGCAAGTTTCCTATCTAGCAGAGCCTATCTCTCCATGGGTGACATGGGGCCATGGCTGTCTTTTCCTGTAAGATTAATTATTCATAAGAACTCTGGGCCAGGCGCGCTGGCTCATGCCTGTAATCCCAGCACTCTGGGAGGCCAAGTCGGGCGGATGGGGATCACGAGGTCATGAGATTGAGACTATTCTGGCTAACATGGAAAAATCCAATCTCTACTAAAAATACAAAAAATTAGCTGGATGTGGTGGCAGGCACCTGTAGTCCCAGCTATTCAGGAGGCTGAGGCAGGAGAATGGCATGAACAGGAGGTGGGGCTTGCAGTGAGCCAAGATCATGCCACTGCACTTCAGCCTGAGCAACACAGCGAGATTCCATCTAAAAAAAAAAAAAAAAAAAAAAAAGAATTCTGGGCCAGGCATGGTGGTTCATGCCTGTAATCCCAGTACATTGGGAGGCTGAGGCAGGAGGGTCGCTTGAGTCCAGGAGTTTGAGACGAGCCTGGGAAACATGGTGGGACCCTATCTCTACCAAAAATACAAAAATCAGCCAGGAGTGGTGGCACATGCCTGTAGTCCCAACTACTCGGGAGGCTGAGGTGGGAGGATTGCTTAAGCCCGAGAGCTCGAGGCTACAGTGAGCCATGATGATGCCATTGTACTCTAGCCCAGGCAACACAGTGAAACCCTAACTCTTAAAACAAACAAACAAACAAACAAACAAACAACAACAACAAAAAACTCTGGTAAAGATTCATTCTGACTTGCTATTAGCATGAACCTTGCAGCAACTCAATACCCCCGGCGGGACTGCTGGACATGGGTTGCGGGCACTGACCCATTGGACTGTAAGTCAAAGGCAAAACCCAGTCCTGTGTGTGTCATCTCCCCAGTCTCGGCCAGACGGAAGCTCCAGGGATAAACAGGTGGACAAGAACCAAATCAGCTTCAACTTGGCTTCCCCAGGGCTTTGCCAATGCCACTGGGCAGAGATGCTTATGCCTGAGAAAGATGGAGAAATTAGACCCAGGCCCAGTGGGATCTGGTTGGTAGGGAGGAGACAGGCCTCCAGGAAAAGGCACTGCTTACCAGGAGAAGAGACAGAATACAGAAGGAGAGAAACACTGAATGAGAAACACTCAGAGAAAAGGAACTAGAGAAGAGACCACAGAGAAACAAGAGAAAGATTTGGGAGGTGGCACACTGTCAGCGTGAGCTGGGGGAACGCCCTGGAGGAAAGAAGCCCATTCCTCTTCATGACCACAAAGCCCTGGCTGCCAGAAGATAGCAAGCTGGCACAAGCAGCAGGGAACGGAAGATGGCAGCTTAACCCAGCTCTTGCAGGAAGGGACTCAGCCAGCTACGATGGCTCACGCCTATAATCCCAGCACTTTGGGAGGCCAAGGCAGGCAGATCACCTGAGGTCAGGAGTTTGAGACCAGCCTTGCCAACATGGGAAACCTTGCCTCTACTAAAAATACAAAATTAGCCAGGTGTGGTGGTGGATGCCTGTAATCCCAGCTACTTGGGACTCTGAGGCAGGAAAATCACTTGAACCCAGGAGGCAGAGGTTCCATGCCACTTCACTCCAGCCTGGGTGACAAAGCAAGACTCTGTCTCAAAAAAAAAAAAAAAAAAGGGGACTCAGCAGCTAATATAATAAGAGCCAAGCTCAATGCCTGCCACCTATCTCTCTGACTTGATCCCCCTCTACCCCAGGCCACCTTTAAGAATGTTCCCAGTGCAGAGGCACATTCCCAGTTTAGAGGCCCTTTGAAAGAAGGGCGAAGGAAGTTTCAAATCAACATGAAAAAACATGGTGCACTGGCCTCTGAACAGCAAGGAATATGGAGTGTCAAGCATCTTATAATTCAATCATGCCTTTGAAAGTTAGTACTGAGAGCCTACTGCTTACTAGTTACAGGAATGCAGCTATGAACAATCCCTAAAAGGTCCTACCCACGGAACTTACTTTCTAATGGGAGAAAAAATACACACCTAACACTAATGTACTATTAGCGAGTGAAGCAGGTGCTAGAGGTGACACATGAACCAGGTAAGATCAATGCCAAGATATGGAGTAAGCAGGGGCAGGAGACAGATGCAAGACAGAGAGCTGATGTCATGGCTGCTCCCCACTCTGCCTGCCTTCCCCAATGCCAGCACTGTGTGTGTGAAACCTCTTATGACCCACCAAACTAGAGACCACCTCTTCTTCCTCTGATATCTCTACCACTTTTTCTGTATGAATCTCGGTCCATCCTTCATCCAAGCATCTGCTACACATAACAACTGTGCCTCAGGCACCAAGGACAGAGAGACCCCACCCCTTCCAGTAAGAGATAAAGGTGACAAGAAAACCCATAAGGATTTTCAGCACATGTTGTGTCTGGCATGTATCTGAAGGAAGTCAAACAGAAAGATGGGAAAAAGTGCCTACAGACAGGGAGCTAGGAATCAAGGAAGGCCTCTCTGAGAAGGCAACCTTGGGGCAAAGAAGTGAAGGCTGGGGACAACGTGGAAGAAGTGTGCTCCACGCAGAGGAAGCAGCAGAGCAAGGACTCTGAAGAGGAACCAACTTGTAAGTTTGAGGAAGAGAAAGACGGCCAGAGTGGTGACAAACAGGTGTGGCCACAGTGTGGTAAGTGAAAGGGGTGGTAGGTTCTGGGTCACACAGGACATCAGCAGAGCAAGGAGTCTAGGCTTTATTCAACATGCAACAGGAAGCCACTGTAGAGTTATAGACACGGAAGTGACATGGTCCAGATATGTTTCTGCAGTGTGCAGGAATCTACCACGCAGTATCTGCTGTAACCTTAATGGTTGTGACTATGAGGGTGGAGGCCAGTGGGTCATGCTGCTGAGTAACACAACCTGTAGTGCTATAAGAGCCTGGAGGTAGGGAGGGAGCATGGCATGGCTGTCTGGGCAGATGAGTCCAGTGAGATAGGTGGGTTCTGACTTCATGAGGGGAAAGAGGAGGTTTCACAACCCTCATGAGGGACAGAGAGTAGATGGGGTGGGTAAGCACCAGGCCAGGAGTGATAGAAGACAGCTCTGGTAAGAAGCCCAAGGAAAGGCTAGGAACATAGGAGGTCTGAAGAGGGAAGCCCAAACTGCCAGGTGGGCTAGGAGGCATCATCCCAAACCAGTGATGGTTCCTCAGAAGACTGATGATGAAGAGAGACCTGGAAGAGAGATAGATCAGGAGTGCCAGGAAGCTCCTAGGTAAGTCTGCCAGGGTAAACAAAGTGATCAAGAGCATATTAAGAAGCAAAATCTTTAACTGGGCAGGGTTGGAGACGGGCAAAGACTCTTCTGGGTTCTAAAGCCAAGTGGTATCATGAGGACATGAAAATGGTGCACTCATTGCAAAGATGCTTCTGACTGGGTTTGAAGTAACAGGAGAGGTCTAAGAGAAACATGAACAGGAATAGGAGAGAGGCAAAACAGGGGGCTGACATCTAGAAACTCTCCTGAGAAAAATAACACTGACTGACATGTGGATAAATCTGAGGGATTATAAAGCAGGCAGAAAACCCTACCAAGGAAGTGACGAGACATCCTTCTTTAGATGCCTCCCAAACAGAAGATGTGCTGTTTGGCATAAGTGCCATCCAGGGCACCCAGACCTGACAGGAGAGTCTACAGACACCCCACAGACCTAAGCAACTGCTATTCTAAAGCTCTTCCCCTAATGGCCCAGGGCGGAGAAAAAGGCAAAGCCATAACATCCTCAGGGTCACAACAGTACACTGCATAAAAGCCGCTCTGTGCTGGGCACTAGGAAGTGCGGAGGAGATGAGAAAGCACTTGTACAAGTGGAGATGGCCCCCATACAAGGGGAAGACAGTCGGGAGGGCCTCAGTGCTGACCACAGGGTGGCCCCACCACGACTCAGCCTCCAAGGCCCAGTTTCTATTCCCCAGAGTTGGTCACCTTAGCCCACGATACTCAGCATATTTCTCAGAATTGGAATTTCTCAAAACCGGTCAGTGAAAACAATTTAAGCAAATGGGAAAGTGAGGATATCTGGGGTGGTTGAGGGAAAATGGGACCTTTTCCCAAATAGATAGCGAGCATCCTACTTTCGTACATCTTCCCATGTCTCAGGCACAGGAAAGAGTACACTTTTTGGAGAAACAAATGTTCTGAAGTCCATGTTCACAGAAAGCCAAGAACCCAGATTCCCGAGCTCCTCGTCTGAAGCCCCCAGGGCAGGGCTCACATTCACAGCCCGGCTGCCAGGCCGCTCTCAAATGTCCATCTCTGAACACAGCGTTTGCAAAAAAAAAAAAAAGGCGTGGCTTCCGCCTTCTCAGAGAGGGCTACGCAGGGCCCCCTTCTCCAGGGAAGTCCCAGGGCTGGAAAGAAGAACCTGGCGAAGCTAGCAAGCACGACCAGGCCGAGGATCCAACATGGAAGCCCGCGGAGCCCACAGTGGGTGGCGAGCGGCAGGGGGAGGGGCGGGGACTCACTGGGTCCCTGGAAGCCGGGTTTAACTTGTCCACAATCGGCGGGGCAAGGGGTCACGGGGGGAGACAGCACTCCTGCTGCGGTGTGGAGGGGGCAGACAGGTAAGCCCCGGGCCACCTGCTGGGGTGCCGCTCCCTGCTCGCGCTCCCGCTCCTCCCGAGTCCCCGGCTCGCCCCAGACAGACCCACCCCTGAGGCAGCCCCTGGCCCGACCCTGGCCCGTCTCGCCGCCCACCAGTCGGTCGGGGACTTCTCGGTGACCACCCGCACGTAGGCCTCCTGCAGCGCTGGCCCGTTCCGGCTCAGGTTCGCCGCCATGGCCCGCCCCGCAGTCTCCGCGCCGCTGCTGCCGCTTCCGGGCCGGACCGCCCCTTTGACAGCCGACAAGCCTAGCCTCAGACAACCGGAAACCCCGCCCCACGGCAGGAAGCGGAAATGGCAGGGGCCAGCTGCACCCGCGGGTCCTAGCGAGTCGTCAGGCCCCCTAGTGTAGCATCCGGGTCCCGCGAACGCCGAAAGACAAGAGGGAGAAGCGAGGACTCGGCTTTCTGTTTGTCCTCAGGGAGGGATCCTGGGGCGCGGACTAGCCTGTTTTCTGGTCCCACGCAAACGGCAGCTTGACTTGGAAGCCTGGCCTAGGGGACCCAGTCCAGCCTCCGCTAGCTGCTCTCACAGCACCGTGCTCATTCTTTTCTAAATCTTGTTATGTCGATGCGCTTATTTGAGAGATCTTGGGTTCACTGCAGTCTCCCTCCAGACGAGGTCTTCAGCCTGTTTGTGGACCCTCAACAGTTTGATCTATGAATGAAACATGCATAAATGTACGAATACCCGGATAAATGAATGCTAAGTGACGATCACACCGCTACAAACCTAACTGAAAGTGCCTTTGTGCTTTCTCACTCTCACCTGAGTTTTTCACTCTGCAGTTTGGTGGAGGCCAGGATAGTGGAGGCGTGAAGAGAACCTGCCTTGTGCTTCACCTGCACATCTCTGGATGGTCGCCCCTAGAAGGTGTCAGTAATTCCTCAATCTGCTCCCCGCCTCCAGTGAGCAACAGTTTTTCCATCCACAAATCTGCCTACACTGACTGAACTAGCTTCTTATCTGCATGATAGGGAAACATGCCAAAGCCCAAGGCAGCTCACAGCTTCTTTCCCTCCCATGGAGAATAACTCCCCTTCCTCCTTAAAATATAAATCCTTTGGGAGGCCGAGATGGGCGGATCATGAGGTCAGGAGATCGAGACCATCCTGGCTAACACGGTGAAACCCCATCTCTACTAAAAAATACAAAAAACTAGCCGGGCGAGGTGGCGGGCGCCTGTAGTCCCAGCTACTCGGGAGGCTGAGGCAGGAGAATGGCGGGAACCCGGGAGGCGGAGCTTGCAGTGAGCCAAGATCTGGCCACTGCACCCCAGCCTGGGCGACAGAGCGAGACTCCGCCTCAAAAAAAAAAAAAAAGGCACAGAGCAGACTCCGCCTCAAAAAAAAAAAAAAAAATATATATATATATATATATATAACCGCTGGGGCGCGGTGGCTCACGCCTGTAATCCCAGCACTTTGGGAGGCCGAGGTGGGCGGATCGCGAGGTCAGGAGATCGAGACCATCCTGGCTAACACAGTGAAACCCCGTCTCTACTAAAAATACAAAAAATTAGCCGGATGCGACGGCGTGCGCCTGTAGTCCCAGCTACTCGGGAGGCTGATAATGGCGTGAACCCGGGAGGCGGAACTTGCAATGAACCCAGATAGCGCCACTGCACTCTAGCCTGGGCGACAGAGAAAGACTCCATCTCAAAAAAAGGAAAATTATATATATATATGTATATGTATAAAATATATATGTATTATATATATATAAATCTACAGTCCCTTAAGTCCAGATGTGCTTTGGAATTCAATCTAAGATTTCAGAAAAGTTATACCATATATGTCCTATGTACTCTGTAAGCCCTTATCACAGGATCTGGAGAGGAACTGGTAATCAGACATGTTCATACTTTTGCTGTGATGTGTGTGAATAATCAGCTAAGTGGAATATAAGAAGACTCTAAATATCCTCATGGCCATTAAGGTCAGTTTTTGCTACCAAATGAACTACCAAAATCTTAAGGTGTTTGGGTCTGGATGGTGCAGATAAGGGCTTGTGGACCTAATTTAGAAAAAAACACAGTTCATTTGTTATGTCCATTTTTCTTTCTGTTCACATCATTGTTGCTTGTGGTCTTGTTTGTTTTGTGCTGCTATAACAAAGTACCACAGACTATGTAATTTACATACAGACTATGTAATTTACAACAGAAATTTATTTTCTCACAGTTCTGGAGGCTGGGAAGTCCAATGTCATGGTACTAGTATCTGGTGAGGGGCTTCTTGCTGCCTCGTAACATGGTGAAAGGGCAAAGAGGATGAGAGACAGACAAAAGGTGGTCGAACTCATTCTGTTTTTTTTTTTTTTTTTGAGATGGAGTCTCACTCTGTAGCCAGGCTGGAGTGCAGTGACCACAAACTCGGCTCACTGCAACCTCTGCTTCCCAAGTCCAAGCAATTCTCCTGCCTCAGCCTCCCGAGTAACTGGTACTACAGGCGCATGCCACCATGCCCAGCTAAGTTTTGTATTTTTCATAGAGACAGGGTTTCACCATGTTGGCCAGGATAGTCTCAATCTCTTGACCTTGTGATCTGCCTACCTTGGCCTCCCAAAGTGCTGGGACTACAGGTGTGAGACACTGCACCCGGCCCCAAATTCAGTCTTTTATAATGAACCTGAGGCAGGAGAATAGGGGCTGGAAGCAAGGAACCTAACGCCAATTCACACTAACCTCCTAGAACCAAATCAAAAGGAAAACCCCAACTTATGACCAAGTAACAAAAGGACCAGAGGCTACTCCCTTTGCAACCGCCCCCCACCTTTTTCTGCATGGTAGATGAAAAATTGAAAATACCTCTGATTGGTCCCTTTCCACAACCAATCAGGCTGCTCATGGACCAAGTCTTCATTTGCATAGGAGTATAACTTTGTAACTTCACTTCACCCTTTCAATCAGAGGTATGCATAGGGTGTAACTTTGAAACTTCGCTTAAGCTTCTGATAGGTCCCCTCCCTCAACCAATCAGACTGATTGCAGGCCACTAATTCATTTATGTAGGGTGAACACCAAGTAACCAATGGGAAACCTCTAGAGGATATTTAACCCCTAGAAAATTCTGTAACCAGGCTCTTGAGCCACTTGCTCAAGCCACTCCCACCCTGTGGAGTGTACCTTCATTTTCAATAAATCTCTGCCTTTGTTGCTTCATTCTTTCCTTGCTTTGTTTGTGCATTTTGTCCAATTCTTTGTTCACGACACCAAGAACCTGGACACCCTCCACAGGTAACAAACCCACTTCCAAGATAATGGCATTAATCCATTCATGAGGGCCTAAGCACCTCCCACCTCCCACCACTCAACGCCATCACATTGGAGATCAGGCCTCTAAGACATGAACTTTGTTGGATACATTCGAACCACAGCACTTGTCTTACAGGCAGAAGCTCTGACATTTCTGAGAGGAAAACAGTTACTTCATCCTGACCTGGAGAAGTCTCAAGCTCTGGCAAAATATCCCTTCTCCTCAGCAGTCCAGTCTGCAGCCTTCACCCCTCCTTTGAATTCATCCTAGATCTTCTTTTCAATCTTTCCTCTTTTCCATAGTGCAGGTCTCCCTACTTCTGTACTTCGACTTCACTATTGTCAGAAAAAGTGAATTTACATCAATAGGCACTCTCCAGGTCTCCTAATTTTCAGTCTTTCCCCCCTCTTACTTCAGTAACATCTCTGCTTGTTTTTCCTTCAGACCAGACCCTCAGGTGACTTTCTGCTCCCTCATCCCTCTGCCCCCAATCTCCATATTCTAGAGGAGTTTGGCCATCGGTCTTATGGTACTTCTACCGCCTTCTCTTTGGTGAACGTATCTTTTTTTTTCTCTTTTTTGTCTGGAAATATTCCTATTTAATCACCTTCCAGTTGTCAGGTTCCTTCACCCACTTGGCCACCAGTCCCAGGCGGAAGCCCTAGGAGGTCTGGGAGCACTTTTCAAATTTTAGTCTACCTGAGGAGAAGCTACCCTTACCTGAAACCAGGTTGTGCAGGCCAAAGAAGCAGGTCTCTGTGTTCTAGAATTAGATCAGCTCAGTGAGGTGACCAGGCTCCATGTAGAGAAGACTATGAGGAAGAGTCTCTGACGGTGAGAAGTTTGAGGGAGCATGATACTGCTTCCTGTTGTAGTGTATAGAAACCTGTTTCAGCTTGATAGGCCAGGGAAAACCTCAGAGGAGGTAACTAACCCTGGAGGAGAGACTGGGTTCTGAGGTAGGAGCCAGCCTAATTGGTCCTAATTGGTCTGAGAAATGGGACACAGGGAGAAGGAGAGGCCAAGGGTTTTATTCTACGTGTAATGGAAACCCTGATGGGTTTTAAAGAGGAGATGATGTGGCCTGCCATATGTAGACCACCTCACCTTTCTCACGCTCCCATTTTTCTTGTATAAGTTTCCTGTTCGCTGTCCTGTAACCAATGGGTTCTTCTTTCCTGTTGCTCAGATATAGCTGATCTATCAAGATCAGAGAACGAGTATAATACACATAGAGCCAGTGAAATGGGAGACTGGAGTTTTATTATTACTTATATCAGCCTCCTCCAAAATTTGGAGGCTAAGATTTTTAAAGAATAGTTTGGCAGGCAGGGGGCTAGGGAATGGGTGCTGCTGATTGGTTTGGGGTGCAGTCATAGGACTGTGGAAAATGGTCTTCATGTGCTGTCTACTTCTGGGTGGAGCCACAGGAGTCTAACTGGGGCCATCCAGTTATCAGAGATGGAAAAACCTGAAGAGACATCTCAAACGGCCAATCTTAGGTTCCACAATAGTGATGTTATTTACAGGAGTTATTGGGGAAGTTGCAAATGTTGTGACCTTTGGAATAATGGCAGTAATCATTTAACTACAAATTCAGGCTCCTCTCATCCTTCTAACCTGGTGGCCTTTCATTAGTGTTACAGAGGCAGTTTAGGTTTGTGTGTTTTTTTGTTTTTTGTTTATTTGAGATGGAGTTTTGCTCTGGTTGCCCAGGCTGGAGTGTATGGCACAATCTTGGCTCACTGCAACCTCCGCCTTCTGGGTTCAAGCGATTCTCCTGCCTCAGCCTCCTGAGTAGCTGAGATTACAGGCATGCGCCACCACATCTGGCTAATTTTGTATTTTTAGTAGAGACAGGGTTTCTCCATGTTGGTCAGCTGGTCTCGAACTCCTGAACTTGTGATCTGCCAGGCTCGGCCTCCCAAAGTGCTGGGATTACAGGTATTAGCCACCGTGCCCGGCACTAATTTCTTTTTTTCTTTTTTTTTTTTTTTTTTTTTTTTTTTTTTTTTTTTTGGAGACAGAGTCTCATTCTGTCACCCAGGCTGGAGTGCAGTGGCACAATCTTGGCTCACTGCAACCTCCGCCCCCCAGGTTCAAGCAATCCTCCTACCTCAGCCTCCTGAGTAGCTGGGATTACAGGCGCACACCACCACACCCAGCTAATTTTTGTATATTTTTCGTTTTTTTTTTTTTTGCCAGAGTATCACTCTGTCGTCCAGGCTGGAGTGTAGTGGTGCCATCTTGGCTCACTGAAACCTATGCCTCCTGGATTCAAGAGATTCTTCTGCCTCAGCCTCCTGAATAACTGGGACTATAGGCACACGCCACCACACCCAGTTAATTTTGTATTTTTAGTAGAGATGGGGTTTCACCATGTTGCCCAGGCTGGTGTCGAACACCTGAGCTCAGGTGATCCGCCCACCTTGGCCTCCCAAAGTGCTGGGATTACAGGTGTGATCCACCACGCCCAGCCCATTAATTTTTGTATTTTTAGTAGAGATGGGGTATTGCTATGTTGGCCAGGCTGGTCTGAAACTCATGTCTTCAAGTCATCTGCCTGCCTTGGCCTCCCAAAGTGCTGGGATTACAGGCATGAGCTACCTCGCTCAGCCTCTTCTTAATTTCTTCACTGACCCAGTGATCTTTCGGGAGCGTGTTAATTTTCACGGATTTGTACAGTTTCCAGAGTTCCTTGTGTTATCTACTTCTAGTGCTTTTGTTTTTTTTTTTAATTTAGAAAGAACAGAAATTTGTTTCTCACAGTTCTGGAGGCTGCAACATACTGCTTTCTAGTTTTATTCCATTGTGGTCTAATAAGATACTTAATAGGATTTTTATTTTTAAATATTTGAGATTTGTTTTGTGGCCTAACATATGGGCTATACTGGAGAATGTTCCATGTGCTGATGAGAATATGTATTCTGCAGCTGTTGAATGAAATAGTCTGTAAATGTCTCTTAGGTTCATTTGGTCTATAGCGTATTTTAAGTCTGATGCCTCTGTGTTGATCTTCTAGACCATAATCTGTCCAATGCTGAAAGTGGGTGCTGAAGTCCTCAACTTATTGTACTGGGGTCTCTTTTTCTCTAGTAATATTTACTCTATAGATCTGGGTGCTCCAGTGTTGAGTGCACATATATTTACAATTGTTATATCCTCTTGCTGAATTGATGCCTTTATCATTATATAATGACCTTTTCTCTTTTCGTTTTTTGACTTAAAGTCTATTTTGTCTGATATAAGGATAGCTAGTCCTACATGCTTTTAGTTTACATTTGAGTGGAATATCTTTTTCATCCCTTCACTTAGTCTATATGCATCCCTTTAGTGTGTTTCTTATAGGCAGCATATAGCTGGATCTTGTTTTTGTTAAATTTATTTTACATTTATTTTAGAGACAAGGTCTTGTTTTGTCACCCAGGTTGTAGTGCAGTGGCAATCATAACTCAGCTGCAGCCTTCAACTCCTGAACTCAAACTACCCTCGTGCCTCAGCCTCCCAAGTAGCTGGGACTACAGGCACATGCCACCAGGCCCAGTTTTTTTTTTTTTTTTTTTTTTTTTTAAGAGATAGTGGTCTTGCTATGTTGCCCAGGCTGGTATTGAACTCAAGCGATATCCTCCTACCTCAGCTTCCCAAAGCATGGGGATTACAGTTGTGAGCCATCATGCCTTACCTGGATCTTGTTTTTCTAACCCACTCAGCAAGGGTGTGTGTATGTGTGTATATATTTTTTTTTCTTTTTTTTTTTTTTTTTTTTTGAGACCGAGTCTCGCTCAGTCACCCAGGCTGGAGTGCAGTGGTGCGATCTCAGCTCACCACAAGCTCTGCCTCCCAGGTTCACGCCATTCTTCTGCCTCAGCCTCCCAAGTAGCTGGGACTACAGGCGCCTGCCCCCACGCCTGGCTAATTTTTTGCATTTTCAGTAGAGATGGGGTTTCACCGTGTTAGCCAGGATGGTCTCGATCTTCTGACCTCGTGATCCGCCCGCCTCGGCCTCCCAAAGTGCTGGGATTACAGTCGTGAGCCACCACGCCCAGCCTATTTTTTTTTTAATTGTATTTTTTTGGAGACAGTCTCGCTCTGTCATGCAAGCTGGAATGCAGTGGCATGATCTTGGCTCACTGCAACTTCCACCTCCCGGGTTCAAGTGATTCTCCTGCCTCAGCCTCCTGAGTAGCTGGGATTTACAGGCACATGCCACCAGGCCCGGCTAAGCAAGGCTATATATTTTAATTGGGAAGTTTGAACTCTTTACATTCAAGGTTGTTATTGATGAGTGAGGACTTATTCCTCTCATTTTGTAATTGGTTTCTGATGTTTTGTATGTCCTTTGTTCCTTTCTTCCTCTTGAAAAAAATTTTTTCCTTTCCTTTTTTTAGTAAGAGACAGAGTCTCACTGTGTTGCCTTGGCTGGTCTCAAACTCTTGACCTTAGGCAATTCTCCCACCTCAGCCTTCCAAAGTGCTGGGATTACAGGGATGAGCCACCATGTCTGGTCCCTTTCTTGTCTTTTGCCATTTGGTGGTTTTCTGTGATGATAATGCTTGATTTCTTTCTCATTCGTGTATCCAGTCTATCAGTGACTTTTATACTTTCACATGGTTTCTTTCTATAATTCCCTTTTCCTCCTATCATATCTTGCATACTGTAAGTGCTAATCAATGCTTTGATACCACTTAACATAACTGGAAAGTGATTGTGATAAGTGGTTAGCAGCAAGTCTTTCTGAGAAGACCAGCCTTTTGAGCCATTGTTGGTGTGCTGGAGGACAGCAGGGTTGAGAGACTGGCTACAAGTGGCAGCTCTGCTGTTGCCCTCCAACATGGAGCCAAGTTGACCACCTGCCTTCAAGGGGAGCTCTGATGCAGGCAGCTGGATGCCTGCAAGCACACCTGTCTGGGGGCAAGGGAGAAGATGAGAAGGACGAGAAGGAAGTAGATGTATTTTTAAGGAAAGCATTGACTTCTGATGGGGTGTTTTGCAGATTTCTTATAGCTTTTTGTTTTGTTTTTCTTAGAAAGTTTCTCTGTCATCAGGCAAAGACCAGGATGGGAACAGGAAAACTAGAAAACTGGTCAAGGGAGAACAAGTCCCTTTTCCTCTCACCAGTGAACAGCAGGTGAGGAAGCAGACTCTGAGAGGAATGCTATTCAGGATGGCTTGCTGCCTGCATGGCATGAGGGGCTGTCTTGTGGGTGCTGGCAGCCATAATCTCCATTTTTCTGAAGACCGCCATTTATGGCTAGATTCAATACAGGTCCAGACCTTTCTCGACACTGCTGGAGAGGAAGTGTGTGCCACAGTCAGAGGAGATAGCCATGGGAAATGGAAGCATGGGACGAAGGGAAGGGGAGGGGAGGAGAGATGAGTGGCTCTATGCTAATCTTAGGGTTCCTTCTCTGCCCTTTTGGGCACCAGGGACAGATCCTAGGAAAGGAATTCTGCAGACAGTCTTGGAAGCACCTTCTCTGGCACTTAAGGCTTTTTCCTGAATTTCAGAGACAGAAACATATCCATCCTTGAGCAACTGCAGTGAGACAGTGTGGAATTCTAGGGTGTTGATAGCTATGACTACCAGGACTGTTGGACATTTGCATTCTGGCATTTTCATTCCTTGTCCTAAGATTTTGACTCTTTGCCATGTTCTTGGAACTCCTGGATCTTTCTGGAGTCTGATAAAGGATCAAAATCGCAGCTCCATTCAGCAAACCCAGAAGCTTCTGGGGGAGAGCTAATGGTCATTTGTTCATCATGGATCAATTGTTCAAGATCAAGCACCTTTCTGATATCTCTTGTCCACAGAGAGAAAAACACATTACTCCACAGGTGGCTTCTCAGATTTGCTGTCTAGTTGCCAACCTGAGAACTTCCTTGGAAGCATGGCTTCTGCACAAATGGGTTACATTGACTGAACCGCAGTGGCTCTTAAAACAAGGTTTTTGACCTAAGGAGCCTGTTCTCCAGGCTGACCTGAACCCCTCAAAGACATGGCAAGCAGGTGACATTTCTGCCCATGGGATTTGCTGAGAGATCTGGAAGGTAAAGAGCCACCTCAGGCTTCAAAAGGTGAGTGAATTTTTACCACGAACCCCAAAGGGCTGATTTGACTTTCTTTATTACATATATCCAACAGAGAGAGCAGGCTTGGGGAAATTTTGTCTGCACTCAGAAAATTCATCGGTTTCTTGGGAATCATAAGTTATTACACTTGAAAGACCAGAGAATGGTTATTCCCCAACACCAATTTCGGCCTGAATTTTCCCATCTGATGTGTCTCTAACATGTGAATCAGTCCCACCTTCCCTGACCACGAGTGAAGTGTTCTGTGATGCTTGGCTGTAGATGCAGTGTGACAACTGCCTGAAGCACATGATCTCAGGCACCAGATGGCACTGCTGCTCAGTACAGTCATATGCTAACAGCCTTCCTAGAGGACACTGGTAACAGCATTCTCCCCAACTGTTAAGATTTATTGTTTTGTTTAAGCAAAGACCAAAGAAGCAGCGAAGATACAATTAAAATGGCAATCCTTGCTGGGCGCGATGGCTCACGCCTGTAATCCCAGCACTTTGGGAGGCCGACGTGGGCAGGTCACTTGAGTCCAGGAGTTCGAGACCAGCCTGGTCAACATGGTGAAACCCCGTCTCTACTAAAAATACAAAAATTAGCCCGGCATGGTGGCACACGCCTGTAATTCCAGCTACTCGGGAGACTGAGGCAGGCAAATTGCTTGAACCTGGAAGGCAGATGTCGCAGCGAGCCAAGATCACACCACTGCACTCCAGCCTGGGAGACAGAGCAAGACTCTGTGCTGAAAAACAAAAAAGGCAATCCTCACCATGGTGAGATGCAGCCACACCCAAAGGACCCCAAAAGTGGCCTTATGGTAGCAGGGGATCCTAAATGTGGATCCTCACAAAGGGAATGCAGCCCAAGTTGAAAGTGCTTCTTCCTTTGCTAAGGAAATGATTATGTGAATAACCTCAGTATTCTCAATGGGAAAGTATCTGGCAATAAATTTGTAGCCACAACTTGGAAGTTTCTGGAAGAAATCAACCTCCCACAGTCACCTTTGGCTGACTGCTTGTGTTAGGTCTGTAGACTTCCTTTCAATCAGCCTGCAAAAGTCCCATCTGGCCATTTGGTCACAGTTTAACATCACTTCCTGGGAGTGGACCAGCTTTATAACCAACCTAGAAAGATCAGGTTGAATTTGGCTTTAGAGATCTGAAGCTCCTCAATTTTCTTCCCTCTTTGGAAGTTTTATTAGAATAATCTCTACCCTTTTCTCTCCTCTTCCTAAGTAACCTAGTCTCAAGGCTCGAAGCTTTAAAGGCAAACCTTAAAATATGTTGCATCAGAAAGCCAAGACAGAAAGCCGATCACCTAATAGGCTATTGTAATTTCAGGCTCCAAATAACTGTTAAAAGTGGGGTATCTTCTGTTCTGCCTAAAAGAAAGAGGCTGAAATGTCAATTATCATTTAGAGTTATGAGTGAATTGCATTTTTATTTACATTTAAGAGTCTCTCTCCCTCCTTGTGTTCTAGTCTGTGAATGGCTCACACCTGGACTTAGTGTAGGCTCCTAGTGGGAAGAGCGGGGAATAGTGAGAATCCTCATCAAATGGAGTAACATGACCCAAATCTCTAGAGGTTTCATAATTTTGCTCTTGCTTCTAAAAACATAGTCATCTCTTATGGGGTGTTATGTGCTTTGTATCCTGAAATTTTCCACTTGCTGCTTCTTGGTGTGAAGGGAGAAATGCCAGCATGTGCCACTGCAGGAGGATACTGGTGGAAGTCGCAGGGCTAGGCCTTCACTTCCCAGTGACACTGTTCCCAATTCCTTCCAGGATGAGCTGAGACTCCTCAGGATGTGGTTCTGCAGCAGATGAGGTGTGAAGAAAGCCTGCTCTGACCTGGGCACCCAGGATGGCACTGAGTTCTAAAAGGCAAAGGGTATGTGGTGAGGGGCCAGGCTGAGGCCCTGGTGTGGTACCATCATGGGCAGCAGCACCATTTGAGGCCAGGTAGGAGAGACGTGCAGGGCCTGGCCCCCCAAGAGACCAACAGACAAACTGAGGTGGCAGAGAGAGAGATTCCAGTGTCACCAGGAAGACTGCAGATCATAACAACAATGGCTGCTGATTTGACATCAAAGAGGTGGCACTGTCAAAGCCATAAATGCTGAAAATGGCACCAACATGCTGCAGATGGAGAGAGTGGGTGACCAACATTTGTTTGAAGAACAGATGATGCTCTTTGAGTGGCTCAGCCAACAGCCCAAAGTTTTAAGGGAAGACCTCTCTGCCAGCTTCAACGTCTCACGTAAAACCTCCAAGGCACTTACATAGCATATTTTTGTGTCCACTCTCTTGCTAGTCTGTTGTACCTGGAATAAAAAAGCAGAGGGAGTGACACCCTCACTTGAAATGGTCACTTCCCTTCAATGTGGTGCAGAGAACAGGACTGATGTGGGGAATGCTGCTACTGCTGCTGCTTGTCAAACATCTGGGGCTGATGGGTAAGTGGAATAAAGGCTTTCCCCAGAGCAGGAGCACAACAGACATGGCTGTAAACCCCCAGCTGGGTAAATCCCTCATTGTGTAAACCCAAAACTGTTGATTCTCCATAACTATCTGCTGTGGAAGATTTAATAATGCAAAGACTTCTTCCCTTTCTTTCCATATTGCCTGTCCTACAATATGGATGCAGGGAGGACAGAGAAGAGACATACAAAGGTCAGTTTGTACTAGTTACAGGACGTTCAGCACACAAACTCCAGAACAAGGGCTTGGGAATCTGCCTACCGGAGTGTGCATCAGCACCATCCTCAGCAGCTGTTCCACCCCTCTGTGCCCTGGCTTTTTTGATTGCTTGCCATAGTGAGAGTACCTGCCTTGTGTGCTTGTGGGGAAGACTAGAGAAATCTGTATGCAAAGCACGTGGAGCAGGCCGGGCATCCATTGAGGACTATGCAGGTGTGTGCACTTACTCTCATCATTGTAATGAGACTTGATGTTGTGAGACTATAGATTAGAGAGATTTATAGTTACAAGAGGCACTAAAAAAAATCACTTTTGGTATGTCTAAAATATCTCGTAGTAAGTGTTAAAATAAACACAAGTTAAACCCCAGTCAATTAAAAATGTTGATTGTTATTAAGAAAACTCCAGTGAGGGAAATAATAAGATCTATAAAGGTCTCAAGAAAAATATAATATGAAAAAGCCATGTGGCTGAGTGTGGTGGCTCACACCTATAATCCCAGCACTTTGGGAGGCCTAGGTGGGCAGATTGCTTGAGCCCAGGAGTTCAAGACCAGCCTGGGCAACCTGTCTCTACAAAAAATTAGCCAGGTATGGTGGCACACACTGTAGTCCCAGCTACTCAGGAGGCTGAGGCAGGAGGATAGATTGAGCCTGGGAGATCAAGGCTGCAGTAAGCTGTGATCACACCACTGCACTTCAGCCTGGGCAACAGAATGAGACCCTGTCTCAAAAACAAGGAAAAAACATACTCCATTCTAATCTCTTCAGACAGGAAAGAAGTAATGAGTAATGAACTGAAGAACTCACTCACTGAAGATGTCTTTTAAAAGGGCCAGCAATACCTTCTCTGAAGGTCTACAACTGAGATTCACACCACTCACAGGACTGTGACCCCTGCCACACCTGGGCCTCTCTCACGGTGCTGTCAGCACTCAGAGACTAACACTTGGTGATGACCCCTTGTGCCAGCCCTACCAACTACAGACACCCTCATGCTACAGTGCTTGTGGTTGTGCCTGGCCTAGGGGGTCGGAATTTTACAATTCTGGTTCTGTTAATTGGTGTTTAAACAAAGAGCTGGCAGTGAAGGTTTAACACACTGCTGACTTCTGAGCTGAGCCAGCGAACTGACCACAGCAGTTCAACCTCACCTTCAGTATTGCCAAGCAGACATCCCCTTGTCTTAGGCTATAAACCCTAGAATTTAAATCCAAATTTTTCTTGTTGTCAGATTCTTCTGAGTCTGTTCTTGGCTGACCACTGATTTTGCTAGCCTCGAGGGCAGGACTTGGCAATGTTTTCATATATAGTAGCAGCAGCTAATGAGTTATCCAGGAGGGTGAACTGCTTTTATCTCCTTCTCCCTTCTTAGACTCAAAAGACATGTTAGTGAGAAAGCCAGGAGTCCAAGCCCAGGGCACACCCACTGTGCACATGGCTCAGCATGGGCAGGAAAATGTCCATGGGAACCTGTAGCACAGAAGCACCAGCTCAGAGCATAGGTACCGCATGGAGCTGCCTGGGGCAGCCATGGCACAAAGGCAACCCAAAAAGGATGCATACTTCTCTCTGTCGGCCTTGTAGGTGTGGGCTATCTCTGGCACCAGAGGGTCATCGGGGTTGGGGTCGCAGAGCAGCGAGCAGATGGACAAGAGAACTGGGAAGAAAAGAAAAGGTTGGTCAGCTGTAGCCATGAGGCTGCTAGGTCACCCCTGGGTGAACCTCCCTGAACTTGCACTCTGTATTGACCAAGGAGATGTCTTCCCTTCAACAGCCCAATCTAAACTGCTTGATGTACCACTTGCTCTGTCCCATGTATCGTGTGGCCTCAGGCATGCCATGCTAGAATACTTCCCTCCTGGGTGCATCCTGGCTCTTATTCCCCTTCTCCACTGAAGCACCCCATCTTAGTCTCCAACTGCCCTCCCATCCTTGTCTGTACCCCACATCATGCACCTCTGGCATTTAGTCCCAGGAGTCCTGTTTACTGGTAAGGAAACAAGAATTCAGAGCATTCAAGTAACTTGTCCAAGGTCACAGATTTGGAACACCCAATAAATGGGTAAAAATGAGATTCTGGGCCAGGCATGGTGGTTAATGCCTGTAATCCCAGCACTTTGGGAGGCCGAGGCAGGCGGATCACCTGAGGTCGGGAGTTCAAGACCAGCCTGACCAACATAGAGACACCGTCTCTACTAAAAAAAATACAAAATTAGCCGGACATGGTGGTGCATGTCTGTAATCCCAGCTACTCGGAAGGCTGAGGCAGGAGAGTCTCTTGAACCTGGGAGGCAGAGGTTGCAGTGAGCTGAGATTGCACCATTGCACTCCAGCCTGGGCAACAAGGGTGAAACTCAATCTCAAAAAATATAAAATAAAGAAATTCTGAACCAGGTCTGTCTAACTACAAAGCAGATGCATCCTCCTGTGTGCCATCACCGTCTCTAGGACGTGCACTCAGTGTGGCTCTCAGCAACCCTGGGAGAAGGGAATCACCCACTAGGGCTGTGGTGAGGAGCAGAAGGAACTGTGGTACCTGGATTCTTGGGGTCCCAGAGAGAAATGCGAACTCTCATTCCTGGCTTTGCTTTCGACTCACCATATGATTCCAAACAAACTGGATTCAGCGAGTCCATCAAAGTCCTGACCACAGTTCCCCACACATAAAGCTACAAATGACAGGGGCAGGTTTGCCTTTTTTAAGATACTTGGCTAGGCACGGTGGCTCACGCCTATAATCCCAGTGCTTTGGGAGGCCACAATGGGAGGACTGCTCGAGGTTAGGAGTTTGAGACTGGTCTGGGCAACAAAGTGAGATCCTGTCTCCTCTACAGAAAAATTTAAAAATTAGGCCAGGTTCTGTTTTTCTTGGGTTGATTTTTCACCATCCTACCCACGCTCCACCTGCCAGGATACTGCACTGTCTACATTCAGGTCTCTTGTGCACACACAGCCCATGTGCAGCCCATCTTAGTTCAGAAGGAATATCTGCATTTCTAAGCTCAGTTTAGACTGGTTTCTTCAACTTCAACCAGAGACATGTGCTTAATATCATTTATTTGGGAAGGGAAGATTTCTCCACCAACTTTGAGGTCCCCAGGGGCATGCCCTGTATCTTTCTTCAGGGCTGACTCACAGTCCGTTTTGTGCTTATTGGATGAATAAATGAGGGAACAGAGAAGGTAATTTAATATTTGCCTTTCTTATTTTTAGATAAAAAATATAAGTAGAATCAATATTTTCTTCTTGCACCCATGTGACAGTCTTGAGCACCCCAGGGCAATGGACTGCTGAGAAGCACCAGGGCGTGGGGCACAAAGTTCTGCTGGTGCTGCCTCATAGGGATGTAAGGATGTCCACTTACAGGCACAGCAGTGGACAGGGCTAAGTGACCTGGGAAAGGTGACTGCTCTCTCTGAGCCTCCATTTTCACTCAGTCAGTGCTGGGGTAAAAACACGTGTAAGAGACAAGGCACACAGAGCATGCCATCAGCGTCTCTACCTTTTGACACAGTCAACGCTGGAGACCACTGAGACCGCAGGATATCAAGGCAGATGCTGCCATTGCTGTTGATATTAGGGTGATAAATTTTGGTTGTGAAAGCAACCTGCAAAGACAAGAGATCCCAAATCAGACAAACCACAGGGAGGTCTGGAAAATGAACCAAGTAAAGCAGGAGCAGCCACTGCTGGGCTGTACCTGGAGTGTGCTGCATATCTGGCCCCACAGTGCAGGCTGAGCCAGACACCCACTCCCAAACTCTAATGGGATATGGAAGTGAGTGATCACCCAGAAGTTCCCTGACCCATTCCCTGCTGGATTCTCATTCTGAACATAGGGGGATTGACTCCGTCTCCCTGAAAACAGTATGTCCTGAGGAGTAACAAGAGTGGCAGAAAGGACTCAAAAGCCCAGAAGTTTTATGCAAAAAGCAGTGATGTTTTGTTGATGTATCAGCAGAAAAGCCCAGGCCCAAAGACTTCATGACTAAAACACCAAAAGTGATGGCAACAAAAGCCAAAATAGACAAATGGGATCTAATGAAACTAAAGAGCTTCTGCACAGCAAAAGAAACTACCATCAGAGTGAACAGGCAATCAACAGAATGGGAGAAAAATTCTGCAATCTGCCCATCTGACAAAGGGCTAATATCCAGAATCTACAAAGAACTTAAACACATTTATAAGAAAAAAATCAACCACATCAAAAAGTGGGCAAAGGATATGAACAGACACTTCTCAAAAGAAGACATTTATGCAGCCAACAGACACATAAAAAATGCTCATCGTCACTGGTCATCAGAGAAGTGCAAATTAAAACCACAATGAGATACCATCTCATGGCAGTTAGAATGGCAATCATTAAAAAGTCAGGAAACAACAGATGCTGAAGAGGATGTGGAGAAATGGAAATGCTTTTACACTGTTGGTGGGAGTGTAAATTAGTTCAACCATTGTGGAAGACAGTGTAGCGATTCCTCAAGGTATTCCTCTAGTTCTAGAAATGGCATTTCTAGAACTAAAAATACCATTTGATTCAGTAGTGATCCCGTTACTGCGTATATCTACTATAAAGACACATGCACACGTATGTTTATTGCGGCACTATCACAATAGCAAAGACTTGGAACCAACCCAAATGTCCATCAATGATAGACTGGATTAAGAAAATGTGGCACATATACACCATGGAATACTATGCATCCATAAAAAAGGATGAGTTTGTGTCCTTTGCAGGGACATGGATGAAGCCAGAAACCATCATTCTCAGCAAACTATCACAAGGACAGAAAATCAAACACTGCATGTTCTCACTCATAGGTGGGAATTGAACAATGAGAACACATGGACACAGGGCGAAGAACATCACATACCAGGGCCTGTCAGGGGGTGGGAGGCTGGGGGAGGGATAGCATTAGGAGAAATACCTAATGTAAATGATAAGTTGATGGCTGCAGCAAACCAACATGGCACATGTATACCTATGTAACAAACCTGCACGTTGTGCACGTGTACCCTAGAACTTAAAGTATAATAATAATAACAAATAAAAGCTCAGGCCATGGACCCTCTGCCAGGCCACAAACCCTCCCCACCTTTCTATTTCACCCTTTGTAAGACCACCCCCTTCTCAGAATTTAGTCCTAAAATACCCTTGTGCACTTCAAATATGTAAGGATACCCACTGTAACAAAAGATGTGAAACCTAAATGTCTTCAGATTGATTACTGGTTAAATTAATGTTATAAATAAGCAACAGAATATTACACAACTGTTTAAAAAGAATGAGGTGAATTTTTAAAACATGAATGTGATCATATGGAACAATTTCCAAGATATATTGCTATGGGAAAAGCAAGATGCAGATTCATGGAAACGCCTGTTCCATTCATGGGAGAAACAAGGAAGCACAAACAAGTGCTTATCCAGGTGGAGATTACTCCTGAAAGAGAAATGAAATGACAAGTAAGACTCAGTGCCTTGTGGGAAAAAAAAAAAGGCGGGGGCCGGGCATGGTTAGAGAGACAAAGTTGAAAGAAGGTCCTATTTTCTACTGTATACTCTCCTACATTTGACTTTTTTTTTCTGTTTTTGTTTTTGTTTTAAACCACACACTATTTCTTCAAATGACCTTGGACCTCAGAGCCTTCACTATATATAGGTACATGGTACCTCTCCCAGGGATGTTGTGGGACCCATGGAGAGTCTGCTCTCTGTGATGTGCAAGGTGTTCTGAGTCAGGTGCAGCTTCCACTGCTACAGGAGCCTAAGAATCTGCCTCACCTACACTCCCTCTGGGTGAGCAGTGACCTCAACGCAGGGGCTGGGGCAAAGGAACATAAGGATTTTGCCGGCTGGGCGTGGTGGCTCACACCTGTAATCCTAGCACTTTGGGAGGTCGAGGTGGGTGGATCACAAGGTCAGGAGTTCGAGACTAGCCTGGCCAATATGGAGAAACCTCGTCTCTACCTAAAAATACAAAAAAATTAGCCAGGTGTGGTGGCACCTGCCTGTAATCCCAGCTATTTGGGAAGCTAAGGCAGGAGAATTGCTTGAATCTGGGAGGCAGAGGTTGCAGTGAGCTGAGACTCCACTGCACACCACCCTGCGTCACAGAGCAAGACTCCATCTCGAAAAAAAACAAAAAAAAGGATTTTGCCTCCTCCGCTAGCTCTGAGAACTCACTGGTACTTCTTAGGCTAGATGGAGATGCACAAACATCCTTTATATAATTATCTACCATTTTTTGCATGTTTGATATAGTTTTTAATATTTTTTAAACTTACTTTGGAATATGAGAAGAGAGTTATGTGCATGTGAGCTCGAATATCTATTACCATATAATTTTTCCCAGAAAGGGTCAAACTTCAAAATCATCTCAGATATTAAGTATCTGCCTCAATATCTCCAATAAAGACCATGCAATCTTGCCAGATTCCTCCTATTGTCAGAAAATTTGTGCCAAAACATAAATCCAGTTGCTCCTGTTCCCTGTAGAAGGAGGTTTTTAAAAGACAGAAGCACTTTCTTCCCTCATAGAATGTCACTGTCACCTTTTAGCTCACATCTCTCCTTGCTAAAATAATCCCAACTCACCCACAGAGCTTACTTCTTAGTCTTTTAATAATAACCACTGTTGGCTGGGCACAGTGGCTCACACCTGTAATCCCAGCACTTTGAGAGACCAAGGTGGGCGGATCACCTGAGGTCAGGAGTTCAAGACCAGCCTGCCCAACATGGCAAAACCCCATCTCTACTAACAACACAAAAAATTAGCCAGGCATGGTGGCGGGTGCCTGTAATCCCAGCTACTTGGGAGGCTGAGGCAGGAGAATCGCTTGAACCCGAGAGGAGGAGCTTGCAGTGAGCCGAGATCATGCCACTGCACTCTATCCTGGGTGACAAGAGAAAAACTGTGTCTCAAAAAATAATAATAATAATTTAGAAATAATAATAATCACTGTTTCTCCTTTGTCCTTGGGCAATTAGGTACCCTGAAAACACCCAACAGACATTCAGGACTACATCCATATCTGTTTAAGGAAAATCCTCAGCTGCTCACACAGTAATGAAAGAGATAAGCTAGAAAATTACTACTTGATAGACACTGCCACAGTCTCTCCAGAGGGTAAGGGAGAAGGGGTGGATCAGAGCACCATGAAGCATGTTTATGATTTTTCAACCAAACCCCCTTGAACAGCAGTTGTACTCTAATGTGGCAAAGCTATTTTAGCATCTGTCATTGCCCTGCGCAGCACACCCTACTCCCTTGCCAAAAGTTTAAAAGGTCTCTGGGATCCTAAGCATATTTAACCAAGATTTAAAATGCTCAGGCACCAGGTAGCCTCTGGTGGTGATGTCTGGACAGAGCTGCAGCTGGCGAGCACAGAAGTGGCTTCTTCACACTGACTCAGATAAACAACATGCAAAACAGCAGCTAAGCCTCTGACTCAAACTGAGTCATCAAGGCCAAGTCAAGGTAGTAAGACACAGCAATGTCACAACCCCTCGGCTAAGGTGTCTGATGCAGATGCAGGACTTTTGAGTAAGTCTTGCCAAAATGCACAACCTGGCCAGGTGTGGTGGCTCACACTTGGAATCCCAGCACTTTGGGAGGTAGAAGCAGGTGGATCACCAGAGGCCAGGAGTTCGAGACCAGCCTGGCCAACATTGTGAAACCCTGTCTCTACTAAAAATAATACAAAAATTAGCCACGTGTGATGGCAAGTACCTGTAGTCCCAGCTACTCAGGAGGCTGAGGCAGGAGAATTGCTTGAACCCAGCCTCTTCTCCACAAGGCAGCAGAGTGATCGTTTTGGTGTGGCAATCCCCACAATGGCGTGCAGACCCTACTCCTGGGGCCATCCGTACACCTCTGGCCTCCTTCCCAACTCCTCACACGCTCACTCCCCTGGGGCAGTTTCCTGGGGACCCGTCTGCCCCCTTGCTGAGCTTCTGTAGTTCCCCCTTCTCAGGGCGATCTCCCCACCACCCCAGCTCCTGCTGCCAACCACTGCTTGTGCTCCTCCCCAGTGCTGACAGTGCTGACGACTGGCTCACACGCTAAATGCCCTGCCTCCTCCACAGGACTGTGAGCCTCAGAGCAGGCTCAGCTACCCATGCAGAGCCCAGGTAAGAAGGAGTATGAGGTGCAAGGGTCCAGGGGATGAGACGACCTGCAGTGCACAATACATGCTAGGGCAGGGTGGTCGAGGCAGCTCCCTGGGCTTCTCCTTCCCTCTGGTGGCACTGCTCTCTAAAACTCCACTGATGGGATGGTGTGTGCATAAAGGGCAAAGGAGGTTTGCTATTCTTTTAACTTAATAAAGGAAAGTGAAGGTGTGATTCACCAGTCCTAAACCAGGGTGTGTCCACCTTGGCACTATTGACACTTGGGGCTGATCATTCTCTGTCATGGGAAGGGAGGCTGTTCTAGGCACTGTAGGGAATCCCTGGGATACCCTGGCCTTTGCCCACTAGATACCAGCAGTACCCCCTCACCACAGTTTTGATAACCCAAAATATCCCAAGATGTTGCCCAAATGTCCCTAGGGCAATAGCAAAATCACCCCAGCAGAGAATCCCTGTCCTAACTCTAAGGGACCGCAGAGAAGGGAGCCAGAGCCTGGAGACATGACCAGACTCAGCTACAGTCACAAGGAAAAGCATTCAAACTGTGGCCTCAGTAAGGAGGCCAGCACCAGCTCACCCCACTGACCCTTGGTCACAACAGGTGCTAATTCCCAAAGTCCAGTGGTTAAAGTCCTGGGAGGCTGTCACCACAGGGTGGAGCGGTGGGCCCTCAGAGAAGCCCCACGTACAGCTCTTTTTACCTATACCTGACTTGAAGGGCCCCTCATCACATGCTGTCCTTCATCCAAACATCAGGGGAGTTGTGAGGGGCACCTCACCTTTGGGGGCTTGAACGGGTAATCCGTAGGAAAGTGGATGGTCAGGAAGAAAACACCTCCTTGGTAAGGACTGTCATTCTGGAATGATGAGACACAGGAAGAGATCAGTGCATGTGCTAAGCCCAAAGTGCAGGAAGCAAAACTGGAGTGGTGTGCTCAGCAGCTACTACCTACCGGGCCCATGATGGTGGCCTGCCAGTGGAACACTACAAGACAAAAGAGAGATGGGCATGTAAGAGACCCCCCAAGAAACATTTCTACTGAAAATGCACTGCTAAATTACAGGGCACTGTCCACACGAGATGCATTCACTTCTGACACCAACTGCAAGACTGGGGTTCCCCAAACCACCCAAGATGCAATAACTGCCTAGGACTCCCAGAGCTCACTGAAAGCGGGTGTGCTCGAGATTGCCGGTTATCCCAGGGAAACAGCATAAGTTAACATCAGGAGGGTCCAAACGCAGAGCTTCCATTCTTCTCTCTCCGTGGAGTCAGGATGTGTTACTCTCCTGGCATTGCTGTACGGCAACACACACAGAGCACCCAATCAGGAATGCTCACTGGAGCCTCCGTATTTAGAATTCTTATTGGGGCTCTACCCTGAGAGCATGACTGACTGATGTGAATGCCATAGGGCTGATCTCAGGCTCCAGTCTCCGGCTCCTCCAGGCATGATCCAAGTCCCCACCTTATTTTTTTATTTTTTTGAGATGGTCTCACTTTGCCACCCAGGCTGGTGGGCAGTGGCATGATTATAGCTCACTGCAGTCTCAAACTCCTGAGTTCAAGCTATCCTGTCTCAACCTCCTGAGGAGCTGGGACAGCAGGTATGTGCCACCACATCTGGCTAATTTTTTTACTTTTATTTTTTCATTTTTGTAGAGATGGGGTCTTGCTATGTTGCCCGGGCTAGGCTCTCACCTTAAATCACATGGTTGGTCTACTTGGTGTGGCCATTCCTCACCCTAAATCACATTGTTGGTGTGCATCAAAGCTTCCAGCCAAACAAAGGCATTCCTATCAGGTATGATATCTTAGAGATCGCTCCCTACGTGTTAAGGATGATGGCCAGATCTTTTGGGGACAAGATTAAATTCTTTATGTTGCTGTTGTTTTGTAGAGATGAGGTTTCACCATGTTGCCCAGGCTGGGCTCAAGAAATCTGCTAGCCTCAGCCTCCCAAAGCGCTGGAATTACAGACGTGAGACACTGTGCTTAGCCGAGATTAAATTCTTTACTACACAAATGCCAGTGACTACAATTCAGTCAGTTCTTTGCACAGAATTGAAGCCTTGGCTAGCTTTCAGCCATTTTCCTTACTGCTCTGTATAAACCCTTCTATTCCTTGGTTCTTCCCCGATTTATTCTGAAGCCCTCTTCAAAGAGTCTCTCTCAGGAGCCAACTGCCCATGGCCCTGGAGCCTCACGGGTGCTGCCTCTATCTGAGTCCTCTCCTGCCCACCCCCTGGGCAGTGCCCTGTGCTCTGGGCACTCAGTAACAAGGTCACGATGAACCCCTCTCATGCTTCCCTTCCAGGTCGCCACCATTTGGCAGGAGTTTAGAGCCTCCTCTTGCTGCACATCACACCCTACACCCTTTCCAGCATCTCAGGTGCCTTTCACTGTTCTACCCATTCCCAGAACAGCTCCTGTGTTTCAGCAAGGCTAGCCTAGTGTGGCCCAAACACTCACATTCAAGGTTCTCAAGTCATACAAATGGTCCCAGGGATATTGACTCTAGGGCCTTTGTGGAAAATGCCTACTCACCCACAGGAATGGGTTGCTGGGATCATCTGAAGGGCCTGTTATTCTCAAGAGAATTCTGTCTCATATGGATTCATAGTGGATATGGAATTAGCCCAAAGTTTCAGACCTGCTCCTGTCCTGGGCTTCCTGTCACCTGTTTAAGTATCCCACAGGCTCTACCCAACAGGAGGCCCAGGAAAGCACCAAGGTTTGGGGTGGGAGCACAAGTGCAGGGACTAAAGCAGAAGTTTCCTAAACCCCTAGAGGTGTTCAAAAGTAGTCAAGGTGGCCCATGAGCGCTTTTCAATATTTCGAAGAAATGGTGCTGAACAGAACACCTTTACCTATAATAAGGCTGCCTGAGTTAATGAAAATATCACTTTTTTTTTTTTTTGCTTTGACTGTTTTTATTCCAATTCATGCTAATCATTAGTTGAAAGTAGATATATCTTTGCCTAATGTTAATGTGAATGGAATTCTTTATTAAATAAAAGTGTTTTTGATAATATATTTCAGAACAGGTTAGAATCCTCTGGTCTTGTTCACTTTAACTCTGAGGGCTGCTGGGACACTAAGCAGGGCTTGAGGGCAGAGTCAGAAGAGAAGGCCCCAAAAGCAAGAGGACAAGAAAAGATATAGAGGAGGGATGCTGGAAATGGCTGTGAGCCCACGAGGCGGGTATGAAATGGCCCCAAAGGCTAGCTTCCACCCACTGAGCCCTAACTGTGGTGGCTGGCCTTGATGCTAGCCTCTCTTAGCCTGGGCTCTGGTGCAAGGTAAGTCTGAGCTGAGCTGAGCATCAGGGAGCTGCCTCTAGACAGCTAAGGCTAAACAAGAACTAGTTCAAGTTTACAGCAATCCCAGTTTAATCTGATATTATCTTAAGTGACAGGTAGGAGGGGAAGCATGCTATAGAGACCTGGGGTGCTTGTGAGGACAACATGAGGTAATCGCTGATTAGTGAGAAGCAGAGTGATGAGCAGGTACCAGGAGACAGTGGAGCTGAGTTGTTCTTGTTTCTCACACTCTGCATAGGCAGCTGGGAAACATTTCTGCTCTGTTCCAAAAACGAGATTTAAACTCCCACGTAAAGACTTTAGAGTCCTCCATTTTCAGTGGCTCCATCTGCCTACCCCTGGCTCCTCTAAGCTCAGTCCCCTCCCAGAACATGCAGGCACACATATGTTGGCATGCCCTCTTTTTTTCCAGCTTTGTGAAATTTCTTTTTGTTTTATTGTAGTAAAAAATATATAATAAAATACGCAATTTAAACAACTTTTAAGTGTACAATTCTGTGGCATTGTATGCCTTCATGATGCTGTAGAACCATCCCCCCAACCATTTCCAAAACTTTCCATCACCCCCAACAAATTCTGTACCCATGAAACAATATTTCTCCCATTTTCCCTCCCGTCAGCCTCAGGTAATCTCCCATCTACCACCTGTCTCTATGAATTTGCCTAATCTAGATATTTCATGTAAGTGGAATCATATATTCATTATTTTCTTTCTGGCTTATTTCACTTCGCAGGTTTTCATGTTGTAATGTATATCAGAACCATATTTTGTTTATCTATTTTCCACTGATGGGCACTTGGGTTGTTACCAGCTTCTGAAAATCATGAATAATGGTGCTGTGAACATTGGTATACACATTCTGTCTCAGTCTGTTTTTGATTCTTTGGTATATGTACCTCTGACACCACTTTCCTTGAACACATAGTATCTCCCCTCCCCACCTACTTTCCTACGGCTGCAGTTACTGAAGCCTCACAGGGAAGGATTGGTGTTCCAGAGCCCAAGAAGCCCGCAAAGTGGAGGCAAGGTGAGTGGGCAGAGGACAGGCCTGGAAACCCTAGTGCTGGGCAGCTCAGCCTCGGCTACCACCTGTGAGGGACGGCAGAGGCCTAGAATAGGTAGTGCTGCTTCTCCCTCTCTCTCCCGAGAAGCTGTCCAGAACTGCTCCTTCAGTCTCCCCCAGGGAAGAAGTGGGAGAAAATAATAGGGATTGCCCTTCCCCTTGGCAGAGGCAAGTGGCCACTGCCCTACCCTGCCCTGCCCCTCCTCGGCTGTCCTGCTCTGCTCCCAGGAGCTGCAGCAGCACCAGGTCCTCTAGACCAACTCCAACAATATTTACACCAGCACCCAAGTATGACTTGGCCAAGGGCACTTTCCAGCAGCCGATGTGACTCCTCAGGCCAAGCTGGCTTTCTCATGCGCCAGAAGAGGGAAGCGGTGACTATGGGACATGAGAGGCAATGCAGGTTCTACTTTGAGTATAACCTGACCAGCCAAGCTGCTGTGAACTCATGGCCTAGACCTCAAATAAAAAAGCCATTCACAAGCAAATGAAGGGAAAATAACTGACTGGTTTTCTTAAATACTGCTTGGCTGATAATTTGGTTGTTTGGTTTTGATTGTTTGTTTGTTTGTTTTTTAGACGGAGTCTGTTGCCCAGGCTGGAGTGCAGTGGCACGATCTCGGCTCACTGTAACCTCTGCCTCCTGGGTTCAAGCGATTCTCCTGCCTCAGCCTCCCAAGTAGCTAGGATTACAGGCACATGCCAGCATGCCCAGCTAATTTTTGTACTTTTAGTAGAGACAGGGTTTCGCCATGTTAGCCAGTCTAGTTTCAAACTCCTGACCTCAGGTAATCCACCCACCTTGGCTTCCCAAAGTGCTAGGATTACAGGCATGAGCCACCACACCCGGCCTAAATTTGGGGATCTTAATTACAATCCTCCTACAACCTGAAGCTCCCCAAAATACTTACAGTCATCACCCACAGGTCCCGCGGAACACTGGGCAGGAGGATCCCTCTGCAAGTCGGTTAATTCCTAGAACATGAGATAGTGGGTCAGAGCGCCTGTATGTTGGGGATTCTGCCTTTACACACCAATCTTGGTAGCTGGAAGGAATTCTCCTGGTGGGAGGAGGCTCCTAGGCCTCAGGAGTGGGTTAGAGACAAGGTGGGTCATAGGAGTCTACTCCCTGCTATAAAGATACCAGAGAAGTAGGTATGATCATTTCCATTTTATACATTAGGAAATTGAATTGTAAAGAGATGAAGTTACCTACTCAAGGTACACAGCTGGAAGAGGGCAGGCAAGAAGTCAGTCACACGTAGCTCTGCCTTACCTCCAAGCCTAGCCTCCCACCTCCTCAGGTAGAAGACATCCCTAGGCCCCCAGGTGCTGAGGATATGGAAGCAAAGCAGACCAGAAGAGAGTTCTGGGAGAAGGATAGGTGCCAGGTTTTACTACTAGGCTAATGAATTAATGTATGGAAGCAGTTAGCACCAAGGAAGCGCTCATCTCTCTACTTTGCCTCCCCAACCACCATCCCAATCACCCCAGTCACCACTGGTTATGTGGTAAGTCCTAGGGCTCTGAATGTGGAGACTTTGGCACTTGAGCCAAAGTCTAACACTGCACCAGTGGGGATCGGGGATTATACCACAACTAGATTCCCTTTATGGGAAACCATCTCTGAATTAAGCCAAACACTGTCCTATCTACACAAACTCTCCTGATTTCACCATATGTCTCTGGACACGCTGATCATTTCAGTAACCACCTCTGGCCATCCTGCATTTATCCCCTTCACTTCAAATTTAATCAGCCAAGATGGAAGTATTAACATCACAGAAGCCAGCAAGTGCTACAAATCAGGGCCATGTTTTCTCCCCGAGGGTTGATCTTTAAACATCTACCAGTATACCACTGGCCAATTCTAATAGTATCTAATATATCTGAACCCATTTCCTCATAAGTAAAATGAATTATACTTGGAAAGCACTCAGGAAGCAGCATTAGGAGTGGTCAAAAAAGAATTTAACTTGGGAACAACTGAGGTCATGCAAGGGGACCGAGGACAGGCTCAGAAATGCAAGAGCTACAGAAATCTCTGTGGAACAGTTCCTTTTTGCTTACCTCTCTGCTATGTGCCCCTCAGCACCTCCACTATCATGGTACAGGGGAATTGTTTACATTCGTTGCGATACTGCATGGATAAATGAGCTCTATGATAGAATCGCTAAGGCAAATCCTGAAGAGGTTACATGAAGAGCCAGGGGCAGGAAAAGCCAGCAGTACAGACCAATTCCCTCTACCTCACAAGGTTTTCCCACACCTCTATGCTTTTGCACTGCCAGTACGCAGAATCCATGGCCCCTTTAGAGGTGTGATCAACAGTTACACCCACACTTAATGATCCCTGAAAGGCCATGTGTGGATCCCCATTGATAGACTCCAACCAGCACCCAGGAGTTTTGAATGCTAACTGGCATTTCAAGGAAGAATGGTGTGACTTGAAAGAAACTAGTCCACTCACACATCGAATTCCTGTGTTCACCTCACAGGGTTAGAAGACTCAGGTCTGAGTCCGAGCTCCATCACTGAGGAAATCACTTCCACCTCTTTGGGCCTCAGTATAATTATCTGTTAAGCTGTAATCATACTTGCCTGCCAACTTGCCGGCACTATTGTGCGGCTACAAATTTTGCATGTAAGTTTTTAATGTATATAATGTAAGCAAGAGCAACTAGTAAATATCATGACAATAGTGGTATAGAGAGTGCCACAATTAGTATTATAAAAAGGGAGAGGAATAAGTAGAATATATATATATTTCTAGAAGAATACTTCGACACTGGTTGCCCCTCCAGGAGGGGAATTGGATGGCTAGGGACAGTCTTGGGCCGGAGACTTTTCCCTGCATATCCTTTGCACCTTTTGAACCATAGGAATTTATTATCAAATCATTAAATGTATAAATATTTTATTTATTGTAAAGGATTAAGTAGGTTAAGTTTATATAGTAATTAGTATTACAAGTAACAATGATAAAAGTTGAGAAGTTCCAAAAAAGAGAACGTAAGTTAAAGTATTGAATATTAGTAGAGAAGAGTTAAGCAAACCATGCTACACACCCAGTTATTTCTTAACTGTGTTCCATCAACTCCAAGACTCCATCCTTTGTAAGACACAATTTTACTTTACATACAATTGGCGGGGTGGGAGGGGGGACATGCTGGCAAATAAGCTAACACCAAATGCTTTCTTTGCACATAAACTTTAATTTTACTTAAAAATTACTTTTATTAGACTGTGTACAGTGGTTCACACCTGTAATCCCAGCACTTTGGGAGGCTGAGGTAGGCAGATCACTTGAGGTCAGGAGCTCGAGACCAGCTTGGCCAACACTGTGAAACCTTGTCTCTACTAAAAATACAAAACTTAGCTGGGCATGGTGGCACATGGCTATAACCAGCTATTCAGGAGGCTGAGGCACAAGAATTGCTTTACAGGGTGATGCCATGGGCAGGGCGGAGTGTCTGGGGTCTTTTGGGAGCCTCCAATCCCCAACAGTTTTGCAGAACACTGATATCTATGGACTCTAAAATGGACTTCATTTAAAGAAACCCACAGACCATTAATGGACAAAAACATGAATCAATATGTATTGTGGCATTCCAATCCTAGCACTGTGGAAGAGCATCAAGTACAATGTTTTTGAAGACCATGGCCTATCATCATTATGCATTCAAGATCTGAGTTTGAATAACCTAATCAAGACTTAGATCTTCTTCAAAAGCTTCAAGTCTCATCTGCATTAAAGCTCTCCATTGAACCCTCTCACAGAAGTACAAGCTTAAAGGGAGTAAAATCCATTAATACATTCCATTTGATATCCCTTCTTCTGACTTCTCTTCAATTTCCTTGGCCTCTGGGGCTTTTTATATTGCTTATGTTCCTTTAGAGCCAAAGTGACAGTGCTTTCCAAAAAAAGTGTGTTCTGTGGCCATAAGTTTACACTGATAGAGAACCACAAATTTAGAATGATGAATTTAGAATTAGGTCTTTTATGGTATTCTGTAAAAAGCTGAATTAACAATAAGAAAATGAGGATGAAGCAGTAAAAATATTTTGGGTTAGATTATACTCTCAGAAGCTATGTGGTTTAGAGAAAAGGGCCTCCAACCTAAAAGTTAATAGTTACTATTTTGTCTCTGCTTTGTACTAGGTTTATGGTAACTAAGAAAGTCACTTAACCTCTCTGAATCTTAACTTCATTATCTATAAAGTGTAGCTGATATTTTCCCCTCCCTACCTCACGGGGTCCTTGTGAGGAACAAGTGAAACAATGTACAAAAAGAAATATAAAATGTATAGTACAGACAAAGGGTCCTGTTACATAGTTGCAAATCATTCCCTCAGATCTTGGGCCTAGGAAGGTAGGTGATTTAAGCTCATTGAAAGCATGTACCATGTCCAGGCTGGATACATGGTAAAAAGGCTATGTTACATTTTTTTTTTCTCTGAGTTGAGTACCTAAAATACCACATGGGCTAATTCTAAGAAGGAGCACCAATATCTATTTTCCTATAATTATAGCTTAGCATTGTTAATGCTCTAGAGCAGTTACGCATTGTAACATATTAGTGATTTGTGAAATATTTTTACTAAAACGTGACCAGCATTTTTCTTTAAATGAAAGAATGTAGAACATTTCACAATGCATCCCACATGATAAAGAGCAAAATAAATTTTTTTAGTTATATGTACATATGTGTGTGTGTGAATGTGTGTGTACTTGGTCATTAAATAAAAAGTATTTTTTCTTCCTGTGGGGGGAAAAAAAAAATTGCTTTAGCCCCGGAAGGTGGAGGTTGCAGTGAGCCGAGATTGCTCCTGTGTGACACAGTGAGACTCTGTTTCAAAAAATTAAAAAATTAAAATTACTCTTATCAAAAGAATTATTTTAGGCTTAGACATAGCTTTGTGTGTTTCTTTTTAAGTATCATTCATGCATCCAAAAAAAAAAAAAAGGAAAAACAAGTGAAATAAATAAACTGGTTTGTTCAGGTATTCCTAAAGTTTCTTCCCATTCAGAGCCCAACACTGAGTCATTGATGTCTACACAATATCATCCTCTGTGTCTTCTAAAACAATGGTAATGTGGCAATTCTTAGAGTCCTCTACTACTGTTTCTGGAGTTTTCTTTCAAGACATCAATACTTATTCTGCAAAGGCCCATGATACACAATCTATTTGCACGTATTCCAGCAAAAAAAAAAAAAAAAAAAAAATGACCCAGCCTTACCAAATTGAGAGTAGGTGGTACCTTCCTTTCTCGGGCTATGAAGAGTTTGGTTGCTTGACATAGAATTAGGAAATTCCAGTCCTTCCTCCAACAACAAATATTTGCTTCACTAGTATGAAATTTACTCTTCACTGTCCTGTTTCTGTGCCTGTGTTCATGAAAGCTTTTCTTTTCAGTGCTAAATCACACTATCTTTTTGAAAATCTTTTTAAAACAATTGAACTCAACAAATACAGTACCAGCAATGTACTTACCTCATAATGAACTGCCATGATCCAGTTTACTCATATAGATAGTGACAACTAAGTGAAGGTAACCTGGCTGACAGCTATTGTAAGAAGCATCCCAATTTTAGAGATGTGAACATTTGAAAAAATATTCATCTTGAAGTAGATGAATACGGCATTATCTTACTTCCAAGTTCTCTTTATTTATTTTTATTTTTATTTTTTATTTTTTTGAGATAGGGTCTCACTCTGTTGCCCAGGCTGGAGTGCACTGGCACCATCTCGGCTCACTGCAACCTCTGCCTACCAGGTTCAAGTGCTTCACCCTCCAGAGTAGCTGGGATTGATTACAGGTACGCATCACCATGCCCGGCTAATTTTTGTATTTGTAGTAGAGATGAGTTTCACCATGCTGGCCAGGCTGGTCTTGAACTCCTGACCTCAAGCGATCCTCCTGCCTCAGCCTCCCAAAGTGTTGGGATTACAGGCGTGAGCCGCCACGCCCA